GCAGGGTGGACTCAAAGTCGTACACCTGGTAGTATGTGTGCAACTCTGAGTTGGACACAGGGGAGTGGTGGTGTGATGAGGAGTAAGAACTCAGCTGGAGGAGCCAGGGCTCATAACCTAAGAGATCCTGTACAGAGGACTCTCAGTCTAGTGGGAAGATCACTGACTGTATTAGGACTATACCTGTACAGAGGACTCTAAGAACCATATGAGTACAGTATAGTATGGGAATAGAAGATGAACATACCTCAGTCTAGTGGGAAGATCACTGACTGAGGAAAGGAAGGAGCGAAGCCAGCACTGTCTACAGCGCTGGCAGGTGGCAGTGCTTGTCTACTATAACAGGAAGGTAAGGTAATCTAATCTAATCTGACACGTCACCTGACCGCATTCCGACAACGAGCACCAGCCGACCAAATCGGAGCATATGCCCTGATGAGATACATGACTCAGCGTTTACGTTTAGCGTTGACCTGAGAACAAACGGTCTCACAGTAGGGTCATCGCGTGTCGCTTCGATAGCGTCAATCGTAGAAGTTCTTGGCATGCTCATATATCTACCGGATTTCTACTCACAGCATCTATGTCACACTCGCAGTATGGTCGTCGATGGATGACGCTCCGATCGAGCTGGTGTTGAAAGCGATGGTCACTGGCAGTATGACAGACTAGTATTGCGGAGATCTCAGCCGAGATCTGGAGAAGAGAAGGGCCTAAGAGAAAACTCGCTCAAAGACTGAACGTGGACAGCGTTACAAATGTAGAGGTCGAACCTTGAACGTTCTGGACACCCAAGGTCGCGGCACGTAGTAGAATGACTGGCCGGCCCCAAAATAGGCAGGCAGACGTCAGTCGACGGCATTGCAAATACGGGCAAACAGCGTTGACGCGCGCGCGTCGACTGCAGTCTCATATGCGACCGACGGTATCATCGCATCCACTAAGTAGAACTTTGATCGCGAGACTGCATTTCTAGAGGACCTCAGTTCTGGTAGACAGTGACAGGACGCCACCTAGCTGGGACTCATGAGCGTCGGGGCGCTGACTCACATGTAGCGCTGACTCCAAACTGGTTCTAAGCTCCGACATAACAGCAACCACTTCATTTTAATCTCAGTTATTCTGAGAACCAAACAGCGACTCGAGTCTCGAATCTCGCCGTTGCTTGCTTGCTTTCTCTTAGTCTCGTGACCAGACGTTCGGAGCTTGAATCGGATGCGAAAAACCGGGGGCATCCGAGCTCCTGAACGTCTGGTGGCTTTACCCCCGTGACTCCCCGCTCGGTGACCTGTGGTCACATATCGATCCCATTTGAGGCAGTCCGAACAAGTCGGAGGGCGACTCCAGTGTGCGATGTGGCGGCCTGCTGTTGTAGTTACACTTTGCGAAACCTCCTGTACTGGACACAATGATCTCCTGGATTATCATGTCTGGCTTGCTCTAATATACTCTACATGGCTATCATTACTCTCTGACTACTGTCCCACGAAGAAGAACACGCCCGCTCATATGCCGTCCTGGAAGCCGCCCGAGAAGCTGCCAAAGCCTCGCGTGGATACAACTCGGAGGCCACACAGCAAAGGCTTGAAGAGACCTTCCGACAGCACATGGGAGGGAAGGTGCCACACCAGTGGCAGGCGGATGTCTCAGAGGCGCTGTTGGTGGGATTAGACTGGGTGCGCGAGGATCTATAAGCGCCCATGGAGCGGACTACTGTGTACTGCCTATATGAGAGATAGACAGATTGAGTATGGAGGATGTGTAGCAAAGGCTTGTAGATGTCATAGAGACGTACCAGTTAGAGGAGTGTCGACAAAGAGCGGAGTAGGCTCAGCGCGACTCGAAGATAGCGGGGAGATAAGCAGGCAGACGCGCACGAAGGACAAGAGGCAGGGAGGTCACACCGGTCACCGAGCGGGGAGTCACGGGGGTAAAGCCACCAGACGTTCAGGAGCTCGGATGCCCCCGGTTTTTCGCATCCGATTCAAGCTCCGAACGTCTGGTCACGAGACTAGCTTTCTCTCCGACGCTGACATCTGTCTACCGCTCCTCAACGCGATTCAGTTTCCAGCGACAGCTCATAAGCCCCTACTTAATCCTCCACTACATGCTTGACCTAGCTTGTATAGTTGCTTTCCCTGTAGAAGTTCGAGGGCAGGAGGGCACAATTAGGATTCGTGTTTGGCCGGTGCAAACGCGCGCTAGGATCCCAACATTCCCCTCGGCGGATCGCCGGCCTCGCACGTCAGTAAGTATCGTAGAACATGCGGAGGTGTTTAGTATCAGACGTAGGCTATGCTTGTCTCCTTGTGAGTAGTCTGTCAATACCTTGGTACACTCTTCGCTGAGAACACGAACCTCTCTTTCCCCTGACGGTCTTGTGTTCAGCATCAGTCCTGAAGCTACTTCAGTTCTTAGTAGCAATAAGGGTTCCACATCCTTCCTTTTCTGTGATATCGGAGGAAGGGTCTCGAATGTTGCATCACGCCTCTCAGCTGTATCGTTTCTGTCTACTTTCGCTTAGCGTCTTCCACCACTAGTGCTTTAGAATGCTTCCCGTCTGAGCCTTCATCGCTACCAAGACGAGATGCCCCTTGCAAAGCCGGTGTAAGTTAAGAGCGGTGTAGCGGCGGATTATTTTGGCGCGGCGTAGAAGCACTTCCCCCGGCTACATTTAGCTCTTAGCACGCTCCTGCTCGTACAGCGTACGACGTAAGGAGACCGTCTGTAAAGATGTTCTCGCTACCTGACGGACGACGCGCGCATCCCTCGGGGTTGTGTTGTACGTCATTGCAGTGAGTGCATATCGCCACCGGAATACTGGCATGAGCGGAACTAGTCCGCAAGGACAATGAGTTGTTGTTCCAGCTGCTCACACGGGCATCCTGACCCCGTCCACCGGATGAGGAGTTCCCGATCTTGATGATGGGCATCGCCGCTGCCATGCGCTGGCACAGGTCTCGCTTGACTTCTCAGGCTGTGTAGCGATGAGTTCAAGAGCTTGTCTGTTTTGGAAAAAGCCTGAGCGTTCCACCCGTCAGGATTTTTCCCTACTCTACGCCGTCTACCTCTATTTCGTTTTCATCCTGCGCCGCGATGGACTATACTTCAAGCCTTCCGGGTACTCTGCCCAGAGCGGAGGCGCTGACTGCGGTCCTGGCATCTATATTCTTCGGTGAAGCACTCAATTTCCCCGCGTATCGCACGTCGCACTAATCCCCATCGTTCACCTATAGGCACCTTCACCGTGCTCGCAGTGTTTGCTGTCTACTTCGCGAGGTCAGTCGCTTGCTTAGTCCAGCCTCCAGTAGATGCATACTGACGACTCGAGTCAGTCGTCAAAGCTTAAGGCGCATATCTACCATCGCGGCACTTGCGATCACCGTAGCGCTGTACGCATTGTCAGCGACTTACACGATCGCGGTCTTGGCGAGACTGGGCCGCCAGAGTCGCATCTTGGACAACGATTTCTTCGACTCGCCAACCTTGGACTGTATTGGTACTGCCACCCTTACTCTCACCGTAAGTTACCGCCATGCATCTCGCTTCGTCATGCTTCTCGGAGACTCAGGTTATCATGCAGACCGTACTCACGAACGCGGTCGTCTGGTCGCGCGTATGGATTTTGTGGGGACACAACAAGGTCCTATATGGGGCGTCCCTTACATCGCTCCTCGTTACGCTGAGTATGTCATACGGCCCGACCAATGACCTGTCATGCTCACCCGGCTGCTGATCATCAGTCCTCGGTGCACTCAGTACCTCTGAAACGTGCCCTGCGAACGCGACACGCAGTGTGATCTATTTCTTTGAGAACAACCGCCAGCTGCCCTTGGGAGGCTTCTATTGGGGCTCAGCCACTGGCCTCACTGCCAGTTGGTTCTCCATGGCTACGAACACCATCGCGTTCATCTTGTACCTCATCAAGGCGCTGTAATTTTCCCGCCCTCTTGCGTCGCAAACACGATTGGTTGATAGGGAGCTTCTGATAGGAAACTGCGATCTGAGAAGGCGCTCACCCTTGGAAGAAGCGTTGGCCGACACTTCGTGCGCATCCTCGAATCTGGGACGGTCTTTGCGATCATCTGGGTACGCTGTCTTCTTTTCTTCCTATAGGTGTGAAAGGATATTTTAACCTCATCTTCCGGCAGCTGCTCCTAGTCATCTACGAGACCGGGTCGATCGCTGAGGGTAATCTCACCACCACGGACGGGTTCTCTTTCTTCGTCAACGGCGCCCTCATTTCACTATTGGTACGTCCCGCCCCTGCTTCCGACGCTAGGGAAATGATGGTATATTGAAGTATTCTTGATCATGCAGAGTTCATGTGCAGCGGTGATCATCATCCTTGCCGTCACTGGTCTATCTGAGACCGCGTTCTGCGATGACGTTGTGTCCAATGAGGAGGTCCTCCCGCTCTCTGGGCACCAAACCCCACAGGTCAGTGAGAAATAGATCGATCGGTGAAGGCCGCATGCGAGGCTTCTGTTGCGTGGCTGCTTGCGAGTACGACTGTCTGTTCGGGACTATTGTTTTTTGGACTTTGGTGGTCTCATGCGCGATGATACGACTCATGTACCTCTCGTGACGTTTTGGATGTTCCACACATAATTAATCGATGCGAGGCATAGTAAGGCTCAACCGAGCAGTTAATCGTAATCGGGCCGACCGAGGGTGGAAGGCACTCCCATGTGTAGTATCCGAGATATACACGCCTGCTACCTATGCCAAGGCCTGATATCGGGCCGTGATCAAGACCTCGCACTCGTCATGTCACGTCCCGAACTCTTCCCCATTTCATCAGATACGTCTGGTAAACCGTCATCATGCTTTGACATCGCATCGTGTAAATCCCTCTTCGACCTCCGGCGACATCTCGGATGAAGCACAGGACTCGTCGAGTGGCGCACCCATGGACTCGACGAAATTTTCAGCGAAGACTAGGCCCCCTCGACCCTCCCTTTCGCTTGTGAAGCTTGTCACGTCCTGAGAGGATTGGTTGAAGAACGTTGTTTCGTTACTGGGACGATCTTGCGAATCGACCTCTCGAAGGTTTATAATGAACCGCGAGATAAGGATGGAGCTGATCCTGAGAATATATACTAGATTGAGCACAGTATTGAGTCAGGTAGTACGAATCAGTCAACGTACGTATCCGCCACATCACCAAGGAATGACACTTCCTGCGAAATATGTTAGATGTTCTCTTCCTCAAAATCCTGAAGATCCCTACTGCGATCAAGTTCAACATGATGTGGAGTCCGTTGAATAGCAGCATTGTGCTATAGAGCCGCAGATCGTCTCAGTCAGGATGCGCATGAGAGTAGGACAAGAGTGTCACCCGAAATATAGTGAGCCTACATTGACATGAGTCCCTGAGTGGAAAATGAAAGTGAACGCCACGTACCGTCTCGCAGAAGCATCGTGACAAGTGGGGCCTTGATATCTGATGCCTCCGCCTCACGCTTCAACCTGTATGTCTTCCACCAAGTCACAGCGATTACGACCGCATCACCGGCGATAAGGCAGATACGAGAGACCAATACAACTATATGGGCAGAGCAGCTCAGTATCTAGTCAGGGCGGTAGTATCGCATTTCGACGAACGTCTAAGAGATGCATCTTCAGCTCGTCGATTTAGGAGACTAGTACAGAGTCAACCCACGTTCTATCGGTTTTTACGGTGACAGTGTTGTTGAAGGCACAGTCCGTCGGTGGAGGAGTGTTCAATGGAAACTCGAACGCGATGGGATACTAGAGTGATTCGAATGAATGTTACGCAATTTTCTTGACACTGAAGGGACCAAAGTACGCACGATGTTGGCGGCGATGGGCCCAAGCATAAGCAACGCGACGATAGAAGGGATGCGCCAGTCCCTCCCAGTCAGAGCGTATACGCGCAGAGTCGCAAATACTGTACGACAGTCGCGCATGCGTGAACACAGACGTAGGTGGAAGTGAGCATGACGTGTCCACTAGCATTATTGAGTTGATACGGACCATTCCATACGAAATATGGGGCGAGATTGAAGATAACGTCAAGCCATCCGAGAGCGGCACAGCTGCACCGGGAGATGGTCTATCAATTGTAATCGTCGCTTCACATGTGACGTTTCACTCACGACTGCGAAACGAGTTAGGTGACTGTGTATCAACTACATTGACCCAGATTACGTACCAGATCGCTGACTGGGGCCCATGTAGGAAGGATGAAGAGTTGGGAAAGGAGCATAATGTAGCGATTGAGAAAGAAGATAATCGACGCTCCTGTTATTTTTCGCCTCCACATCAACCTGACCTCGCTGTCAAAAGTTATCAAGTACTCATGGAAAATCAGAGCTGATAGGGTCAACTCTTCCGTACGTTCGTGCCAGGCAACAGAAGACTACTTGCTCACCAGCTTCTGCAAACAGAGAGCAGTAGTCGATGAATCTAGTTCCGCCTATAGTCAATGAGCCATTCGAAGAGATGCATTGCAGAGCCTACATGAACGCGCGGTCTGCGATGATCTGTTCCGCAGCCGAGACTGACTGAGAGGACATGTTAAGCGGCGACCGAGACGTCCCGCGGCTGGTGAAGACTTGGGCGCGAGGGGTGCGAGCGTTGGGGCGCAGCGAGCAACGCCCGCCGCACCGCGCATCAAGGGTTATATATCTACTACAGGCACGTTGCACATGCACACAGATAGCCAGGGAGGAGTCTGCAGGCAGTAGCGGGTGAATTTCGACTGCTTCATGATGGCGAGTAGAAAGGAAGAAAGGAAGAGCTGTCCTGGTGAAACAGCAGCCCGCATCCGATTTTCGTCCTTCGTGGACAGTCCGTGGGAGATGTGCGCGACTGATCCAGGTCGATGAACACCGCCGCGTGAGGGCACGATGAGCAAAGCAGTGCACACCCACCTATCCGAGCGGAGATGGCGTACGTGAGTGCCATTGTGGCGATCTACGGCGCCCAATGAGACCTGGGACAAGCCGCAATTCACAAGTAGGTGTCTGCAAGGAAGACTTTTCACTTATACGGACAACGCGTTCCAGGAGATTGTACCTGTACCTGATGCTTCGTTACTTTCATTTCAGAGCGGAGACGTAATGTGGACGTACCTTCTCAACGAAATTGTGCATGCTGGCAGCTGACATCCGCCGGGCGCTATCAGCTTGGTCACGAGCAGCCAGCGTATGGTTGAAAAGTTACGAAACAAATAACAACGTCCCCTTAGCTGTTTCTCCGTTGTCACCGGACTGCAGCCAACGTTGCTCACCAGTTCCGCACTACGCAATCGTCTTTGGGTCGAATAGGAAAGTATAATGCAAAAGACACGTAAGTCTACAAACACCGTTATACACAAGGATGTCACAATGATCTAGTACACACGACATAGGAGATGTGATTCGGGAACCAATTGCGGCCCCATCAGTTCCCGTGAGCTCCGGCGTGCACGGGAGCCTTGCGACGGTAATGCATGACCAGCTCCGCTGACTGCCGCCAGACATACTGCCGGACGGCAGCTAGTGTCATGTCTAGCGGAAGGACGATCCCGTTGCAGAGAATCTCATAGATCTCCTCAGCACGGGGTCGGGAGTCATGATCGCGAGCGCGTCCAGAGGCCAACGACCGGCGGTCGAACGAGGAGCGAGGCGTAGCACTCGCGGATACGGGAGAGGTGCCGCCGTTGGCGATCTTGTCGAGCTTATCCTGTACCTGGAGGCGCAGTCAGCGCCTGGAATAGGGTGGCGATGCTAGATGTAGACGTACATGGACGGTGAGTTTGCGAACGCGCAAGAAGCGGCTGGCGGTAAGCTTCGATTGTTGCCTGTAGCATCGGAGCAGGAGTCCTCATCAGCCTTTGATAAGAGCTAGACAGAAGCCAATGACGTACGTATTCAACAGCTCCGGCAGTGGCTCGACCCCTAGCTCCTTGAATGGTAACAGCACGAAGCTGACTTTCGTAACGGGGACGGACGGCGTCTTGTTCTGTAGCAAGCACTCGAGCAGCCAGAGAGGCATCACCTCTTCCAGCATTCGCGCATCCACACCCGTGCTCGAGACTTGGCCGCGGTAGAGAGTGAGCCATCCAGATGGCGCTTCCTCCGAGATAACGATGGATGTGTTCTGCGGAATAGGCAGCGGGGGCGCTTCACTGGAGGGAGGCGGAGTGATTGGTCCAGCGAGGAGTGCTTGTGCTGGTGTCTTAACTGGAGGCGATGGATCCTAGCCGTTATTTTGTGTGACGGTCAGCAAAAACTTGGCGGAGAAAGCACTCCCAGAACTGACCCCTGCCACAGTCTCAACCTGAGTGCTAGTCGTGGCGCTACCCTGTGACGTCGTCCCAGTCGTCTCGCTCGCCTGTCGCTTGTTCTTCGAGAACGCCTTGTTGATCCTGCCCATCAGGCTCCCCACCGTGGGCGTACTCGGTGTCTGCAGCGGTGCCGTGTCGGACCCAACCGACTTCCCGCCCCACCCAGAGAAGTCGTCTGGGGTCACCGGTCCGCCTGGAGTTGAGACAGACGGTCGCCTGCTGCTCCCGCGCTGCGAGAAGTAGTCGTTGTTGGTGACAGTGCCGTACGTGGAGGGCGGGAGGGCTGCTGGAGTCGCGGTGCCGTCAGACCTCTGCGTGTCGCGTGGTCCATGAGATATAGGCGTGATGTCGGTGGGATTGGGTGACTGAGGGATAGTCGGAAGGCCAGAGTCACGTATTCCGCCGTGTAAGGGTATCAGGGGAGTCATGAGCGGGGATGAGCGAGGTGCGACAGAGACCGCGGGGGAGACCGCGGGTAGCATGTTTGGGGAGAGGATAATCGTCGCACTTCGAAGTCCGAGGGCGGCAGAAGACGCGCTGCGCTCAGAGACATCCGAGGACGCGCGGCTTCGTACGTCCGGGTTCGTGCTGTTCAGGTCGATGTGGGTCGGCGCGCTACCACGTTGTAGTCGATGGTGTGACGGGTCGTGGGAGCCATGTTCCCGGGCACGTCGCGCGGCTTGCCGCTGTTCCTCCCGAATGAACCCATGGAACAAGTTTCTCAACACCCACTTCCCGATATTTACTATAGCCACCATCTTTCAGCGTCCATGTTCAAAGTGAGGGCAAGAAAGAGAAAATCGCAACTCACGCCGCGCCTCCTCGTTGAACTGCCTCTCATGCCCATAACCCGCCTCGTCCGCATAGATCTCCGCCTCGAAGCACTTCTCGTTCATGTGCACCGTCAACACTCCCGTCTTCGTGTCCAGCGCTGCCCAACTCGGTACGACCGCCTCGCCCTCGATCCTCTCCCTCACCGTCTCCAGCGCCTCCCTTGGGCTCCTCGTCTCCCCCTCATATCTCCCTCCTCTACCCTCGCGCGCGCTCGCAGCGACGCTCTTATCACTCCCGCAAAAGCTGACAGCGGCGACGTCCTCGCACGGGTATCGCCCCAGACATACACCCCTGACGATATCCCACAGCGCGACCTCGCCCGCCGTGTCGACCGTGAGGGCGTGCACGCGGTCGTTGAGCATCACGCACCGCACGAGGCCGTGCTCCCCGTGAATCACCTCGTCCGCCTCCAGCCTCAATGGTATGGCGTCCGCCGCGACCTCGCGCAGCTCGAACGCCGCCCTCGGTCTTGGGGTCTGCACCTCCTCCACGAGCCGCGTCTGCGAGCGGACCGTATCGCCCCTAAACGGGCTCACGCTCCGCACAGGCTGGCCGTTGGGGCCGAAGATCTGCTGCACGGGGGACCTGACCATCCGCGGCACGCTCAAGACCGACGCGGCCGAGTAGAGCGTCGCGATCTCCGGGTCGTGCCCCCTCATCATGGACAGGGATGGTCCGAGCCCGAGCCCAAAGCCTGCGTCGTTGTTGGGCGAGGTGAGGCGGACGAGGGATTCGAACGGGATGCCATACCACGTCTCCTCGCCCTCGCGCTCCGAATCCAAATCCACGTGGGACTCCGCGCCTGCCATGGCATTGGCGGAGTTCATTGACGGGGTGAACGATGCGCGCTTGTGATTGCTGGCGCTGAGAGAACGCGGCGCGAGTGGGCTACTGCTGCGTGAGGTTTCCTGCGAGAGCGGTGGAGAGCGCACAGGCGACTTCGACTTCGTCCTGCCCCCGGCCGCACTTCCGCTTCCGAAAGTAGATGGAGGAAACGTGAAGTCGAGCGAGTCACGCCTCCGATGGTCCAACGGTGGCAGGGACGATATCGGGCTATCCACCGCGCCCTCTGCACTCCACACCGAACCTCTGACAGCCCTCCTCGCGGGGACCCTCCACCGCCTCACACTGGAGCTTCCCGAAGCGGTCCACAGTAAGTTATCGTCCATCGCTACGATCTTATTGATCCCCTCCGAGCCGGCACCAGACGTTCCCGGGCGGTCCCCGCCGGAATCTTGGCAAAGGACGAGGCACTCACCCTCTGCGACGTCTGTGCAGCCTTCGACGTCGACTTTGCAGACGAGACCGGAGCGGTCGCCCGAGTAGAATATCTCCAGAGACGGGTGAGTGGAGGAGAGGGACCAGACAGACTCGGTGTGGTGCGTGAAGGTGTGCAGGCAGCGTTGGGAGGAGAGTGACCAGAGCTTTATCGACGCTGCTGAGTGGATCAGTATGCAAGTCTATGCGAAGTCGACGTGATATGGGACGTACCGTCTGCGGAGCCCGTTAGCAGCTGTATAGTCGTCAGTCCAAATATCTGCACAGGTCACAAGGGAGTCCGACGTACGTATTTCGCGTCCTCGGATATGAGTATCGCCCTGATATTATCCGTATGCCCCACTAGCTTCGCTATCCTCTTGCCCGACCTCGGGTCCCACATCCTGATCACCCTCTCCGGGGAGCCTGACGCGATCACACTTCCATACGGGTCCGTCGTTAACGCGTACACGGACGCCTTCGGCCCCGCACCCTCTGGCGGGCTCAGCGTGATGAGCGGGTCTGTCCTATGTGCACCCGACCCCGACGCGGATGCGGACGCAAGGTCCCAGAGCTTGATTGTGCGGTCGAACGAGCCTGAGGCGAACCACTGCTGTTCACGGCTACACAGCGTGAGGCACGACGCGGGAAGGGGAGGTGGCCACTCACCAGTATGCTAGACAGCGGACATAGTCAGAGTGCGTGCCCAGTACGGCGGGCTCGTGTAGGGAAGAAGAAGATTGGCCGTGCGCATGCGGGGACCAGGCCTTGATCGTTCCGTCCGAGGATGCTGTTACCACTTTGAACAGCTGAATGAGTACGTGCGGGTGAGGGGAGAGGGAGAAGAGGGGAGACGTACGAGTTTGATTATAATTACAGAGTATCATATCGTTTATCCAATCGGAATGCATTTGTACAGCTTGGCGGAAATGTGATGTTGGTGGGTGTGCCTGCTCGCATTCCGAGTTTCAGTATGTTCAAACATCGCCAGAGCACACTCGGGTCGTGTACAGTTAGGAATGGACACGGTTGGGGTCATTTTGCCTCGCGTGCGAGCATACTCTGCGCGCTGGTGCTCCTGATGGCAAATTTGATATTATGACAGGAACCGTCGCTGTGGACAATGTATAGAGAGAGCCTCCAACAGCATCTCTGTCTATGACGAGAGGATAGCTATGATGTGAAACCCGTGCCTTATACACAAGATACGGGCGCGAGGGACATTGCCGGGAATCTCTCTTCGTAAAAGAGATGTAGAATCCCGAGGCCAGCGTTGCTTTGCCAGTGTTGAGCCTCCAGCGCGCGTCGGCATAACGGCAGGTTGAGACTGGCCCGGACAATGCACTGCGCGTCATGCGAATGAATTCCGAGCGCTGTCCCTCGAGGGGCCTGGTCGTGAAGCTCACGAGTAGTACCATGTCCATCCCTAGCACTCGATGTACTCAGCTCCAGTGCATTTTGTGACGCACCTTTAGGGCCTGATAAGCGTCCATGTCCGTCTCCCACTGCTCCTCGTAGGGTATCGTGTCGTCGGCGGGTATCCGGCGGCGGGTCTTGCCCGTGACCTCGCCCAAGACGTCCCCGTCGCTCCGATAGTCGTCCGCCTCCTCAGCCTCCTCCTCGATTATATCGTCCGCCCAGTTCGTCATCACCTCCCACCGCCTCAGACTTCGTCCAGTGTACCCATACCGCTGCGCTCGCCGCTTCATAGGGACGCCGAGGTCCCACGCGATGGCCATTCCGTCCCGGCCTCCGGTGTAGAGGATGCCTTCGGGCGACGCGCGCCCAACAAGCTGAGTGGATGTATCTAGTGCAAGGCATGAGACTCCCAGTCGATGTCGCGGGTGCTGGGCCCATTTGGGAGTCGGTGGGAGAGGAGGGTCTGTGGATTGACGGGGAACCAGAATCGGGCCTGGAGATCCGTTCCGAGGCACGCCATGAGGAGGCAACTGCAAGCGAGGTGGAGGATCTGCTGGAGTGGGTATTACATAGGATACCCGACGCCTTGGGGGCGCCATGGACGAAGAACGAGCGAGAGAGGGAGGAGGACGTTTTGGACGATGACCTTGGCGAGCCCGGCACCGACTCTGACATTCCGCGCCTGCGCGACTCAGGCACCAGGCACATTGAGGCCAAGCTGTGGGCTAAATCAACACGCTTTGAAGTCTTTCGGTCCGATATGGTGTAGTGGCTAACATTATCGCCTCTCACGCGATAGCCCGGGGTTCGATTCCCCGTGTCGGAAATGTTTTTGCTATGGAACACCGCTCATCTTCGGCAGACCGTCGCCAATCACTACAGCGATCTACAATAACAGTGGCGGTTGCTTTTGCCCCTCGTATCAGGCCGTGAAACCTCTCTGCATACAAGTAACACGTCCCCACCCATCCTTGCCGAATTCACGCTTGGGGCTCCACTCGGAAGTCCCCGACTCTAGTGACATCGCGGTACCGAAATGCGACGAGAAGATGCTCACTGGCAAGGTGGTGTGCGACCTGCAGCCATCTTTACACTCGTTTGAACTTGGTCTAGCAATAGCATTCTCACACGTTGTGTCCTATCACTAGGTGAGCTCACATCAAGAACTTTATGATCAGCCTGTTCTTAAAAACAGGCTCTGAATGCCCACACCTAGGATGACGCAACCCGCGCAATTCTCGACGTTCAAGGACACTCTTGCCCGCCGAATCCTATCCGACCCTGGCGTCCTAGGTCAAACTAATGCCGAGGACGAATCAGACGCACTGTACGATTTCACGTCGTATCTCGCGGAGGAAGTGTGGCCCTTCCTCCCAGCCGAACTGCGAGAGGCAACATACGAGAATCGCGACGCCATCCCGGACATAGACGATCTCTCCCTCGAAAGCATACCCACAACGTTTTCCGACACGCTTATGTCCTGCGGTCTCGTGGATGAGCCAGAGGCCGCAATCGCTTTCCTCCGGAAAGTGCTCAAGAGCTACGTGACCGAGGCGTGCGCTCCGCCTCCGGTGTGGTCCCGGACACGCACGACCGAGTGTGAGATCTGCGAACGCGAGGTCCCGCTCACGTACCACCATCTCATACCGCGGGAGGTCCACGATAAAGTACGGAAGAAGAAGTGGCATACCGAGGCGATGTTGAATTCAGTCGCTTGGCTTTGCCGGTAAGTATATCACCGTAACATATCACCGTAACTCTTCATCTGAACGCTCAGCTGACCATTCAACCTCGACTTTGGGGAATAGGCCATGTCACACAGCCGTTCATGGTGTTGCGAGTAATGAGACACTTGCAAGAGAATTCTACACCGTAGAGCTCTTACTAGCTCGGGAAGACATACAGAAGTGGAAGAAGTACGCGGCGAAGCAACGCTTTGGGTTACGTCGGAGATGAGTCACTGTAGTAAGGATACACGATTTCAGAAGTAAGTATGACACCTTTAATAAGGTTGACGTGGTAAATCGACATACGAGACAAAGCCAGACATGGGGCTGACTCTCGTGCGTGGTCGCATAGGGCAGTCTTTCAAAGAGCATATCTGACCAACACAAACTCTGTTAGCAGAATAGGGTGATTGCAAGGACCGCCATCGTGCGCACCTGTGGTATTTGTTCTCGAATTCGGTGAGGTCGTGCATTCCCGCCTCTGCAGGTTCGTCGTCAGCTGTATGCTACTGGTTTCAAGGCCAAATATCACCTTCTCCCTTTAGTTGATCCTCGTACGACACAATCTTTCCTTGCTCCCTGTCGCGCTATTGCATAACGATGTTAGCTAATCGTCCAGCTTCGTATGAGCGACCGACAAGGAGACGCACCTTGATATTGCTCCACAGCATGTATATCCCGAGTGCGAGGTGAGCGACGGCCTTGATCACAAAACCTACCTCCTAGATGAGCTGTTGCCTCCGCGATACAATGAAAACCCACTGATCATGATCGCTTTCTGGAGGTCACAGTCAACAAATAGACTTAACGTTGACACAAGGGAAACTACTTATACCGTTCCCGTCATGAAGCGAGGCGCTTCACTATCCTGCAGCCATAATCATAGTCCTGACGATGTCGAGCATTAGGAATGTACTCACAATGATAAAATGTGGCCTGTACACTCGCCACGGTAAGTAAAACTCCAGAAGACGTGTATGGATGATGTACCGACCCGACTATGTTCCCGATACAATACTAGTACGAGAATCATAAACGCTGCAAGACAAATGACACGGGACGCCATGCTTACCCCAACGAACACAATCGCCGTCGTAACCGTCTTCTTCGTGAATCCTCCGACCTACGTTGCCCCTTAATTCAAGGTCTCACGACTTCGTGGCAAGACCTACATTGCTGGTTATCATTGACAGTGATAGAGAGAAGGCCGCCATCTCGAATCCGGTGAACCAGAACGATATCAACCTGTTCCACTGCTGGCTAGATGGGAGGTATGTCAAACACGCGGCGGCGATAATGGATGCGATATTCGTGGCGGTCATCGTGATGATGCGCACTTGTAGACCAGGTGTGAGATGCTGTAATGAGACCAGGCGACAAGACTTACTATTCCTGAAGCGCATGCAGATGTATCTGCGACGAGGCTATTATCTAGTGAAGCGTGTCATTTTCAAGGGTCTGGTTTCGTACCCGGAAATGAGCAAAGTAACGATTTGCACTCCTGATGATGCTACTCCGAGCAAAGTGGTCTGCAGGACGGTGAATCCCATGCCCTACGTGTACCGATTCAGCGCTTTCTACAACTCAATGAGAACGATAAAGTGAACCTTGATAAGGATCGTGGAGAAGTTCATGAGAATCCTGATATGATGTAACGGGACCCCGTCAAGGACGTTCGAGGGCCTACCAACCAAACCTACCCGCTTGGAATCTGAGCTGCAATTGTCGCCACTAATAATATCCATGTCTTCGGATCGAGTAACGCTTGCTGCGCCTATGCAGCCGTGTCATCATTCGAGGCCTGTAATACAAGTCTCGGGCAGACGTACCTGGTACTTCTTGAAGTGCCTGTTCTTTACGCCAATTTTAGACTCTGCAACGCGCTTGATAGCGAGAACCTTCTCTTCCGCATTTAGGAAGTGCGCATCCACAGGAGAGTCAGCGAACCAAAACCATAGGAAAAAAGCATCTAATGTCGTAAGTGGTCAGCAAGAATTAGACTTCATCCGAGGCTACTCACAAATAATGGTGACCGCCCCGAGGATAAGGAATATATACCTCCAGAGGTCGATTTCTGGGTGTGAGATGTGCCCAACACCGTATGCGATGAAACCTCCGAGTATTCCGGCCCAGCCGTTGAAGGAGACCCACGTGACGACGCGGAACGGCACCTCGGTCTGAGTATACCACACAGACGTCAGGATGGTCATGCCGGGGGTCACGACCGCCTCCACAACACCGAGAAAGAAACTAGATGTGCGAATTAGTAGGAGAAACCGGTCTTCTGCAGCTCACATACCGGTTTGTCATGAGCCCGGCGTAGTTCACACAAGCGGGCGTTCTATAAAAAGGAAGCCTGAGCTTCCAGCCAAGACAAGACATCGTACAATGTCACTCACGTTATGAGGATGACCCCCCAGATGAGTGTCACTACGACACTTACTCAGGAGAAAGTCAGAACCTTCCGCAAATGAACGCACTGATCGCCAGGACCTTCCCACTTGGATATTGCTGCAATAGCCAGCTATCAGGATAGTTGCCTAGGAGGTATCCGAAGCTGCGAGTGGACAGGAGTCAGGCTACAGGGGTCAGAGCCTGGGGGCAGCAACTCATACTAGTATACTGCAAGAATGAGATTCATGTTTCAGATAACATGAATGATGAGGGGATGATACTCACTGCTGGCGTACCAGTCGAATTGACTCCCGCTCAGTTGTAGCTGGGCCTGCATCCCATACAGGTTGCCATAGTTCAAACTAAAGGTGACCATCAAGCTTAAAAAGCTCATATCAACGATGCCAACATACGCCGTCTTGTCCACTATCATACCAGGTCATGATCCGTGCCGCCTGAGCATAACAGCACGTACCAATGCTAAGACCTTGACAAAGACACAACTTCACAAAGCCACAGAGCATGAGTTCTCATCAAATCTCCCCATGTCAATCACGCACCATGGGCAGCATCCACTTATCGATCTTACAGGCGATCCTGCAAATAATACATGCCTTTTCAGTGTACCCCTTCATGTATATACTTAGGCATAGTGCTCACCGTCGACTCTCCTCCAGGCCAACTGGTATTCCAGATCGCTTGGCGATGTCAAACTCGTGAAGTCCCACGTTCCACTTATCCTGTAGGTCTTGCGCTATAGTGTCGAGTATCTGCTCCGAGTCCCCGTTCTTTCTCTCCGGAAGCTGTGGGCTGTGCATCGTAGAAAATGTCTTTTCCAGACCACCAGGCATATTGACAGAGGAAGGAAGCGTAGAGTTGCAAGGAAATCGTTCGCAGATAGTTCACCCAAGGAAGCTTATATTGAGCGCAACACATTCGCACGGCGCACTGAGGAATGTGAGCAGGCTTGCTAACATGGCAATGTTTATAATAGACGAGAACAGACATGTGCGAAGACTCTAATCAGGGACATGACCCTGTCATAATCTTCCTGTGCGTCGCAACGTGTCGGCCGATAAGACGCTTGCTAAGCCAGAGGTCAGTGAACTTACTCGGGCAACAGAGCCCGGGGCGACGGCTGTACTTGTATGAGAGGTTTACAAATCATGTAACTAAAGAAAGCATGAATAGACGAAGGGATGGCGTGAGACCATAATAGACGCAGAAAGCGCGCAGGTGTGAAGTCGTTCGCAGAACATATTTAGCTCAGGATTAGTGAAGTTAACTTCGGCACAAACGTGATAGTAGTCTTCGTACGATATAACATCTCCTTGCTCTATGTCACGCCAAACAACGGCGGTAGCGATATTCTTAGATATGATGCACCGGATGCAGATGCAGACGTACCTTGACATTGCTCCAGAGGATATACATTCCGAGAGCACGGTAGGTGCTTCGACCACGTGTCACGAAAACCCCTCCTTGTTTCATATTGTTGTCCGCCATACACCGTCGTTGATGCTTTTTCCTGCCGTGAGGGAAGTACCAAGAGGAGAAGTGCTCTCAAAAAATAAGCATGGTCAAGATTGGCGACTTGCAGAGACACTAAGGCACAAGGATCATAAACGAACAAATACCTATGCAATACACACTCACGCGGACGTGTGACTTCATGTGCAATTGAGGGTCAGAGTCGCCTCGTTGAGTATGCGACACTTCTATTAGACGCGAGTGGAGATGTGCGCAGTCCTTTTTCGGAACCTAGGCCTGAATCTAACCCGCTAGGCCGTGGCGCGCCCGCTAGTGAACCACCTCCATAGGCCAAGTATGATATTGCCATAAGAAAGAAGCGGAGTGAGCAAGGGACGGATGTGACTGCATGAGAAGATTTCGTGTCACGTTGGTCATGGCTCGCGGTAGCACAATGAGCAGCTGCAAATTGACCGCGCGAGAGCAAAGCAGATCGGTGTATGCAGACATGCGGATAGGGCGCCCTTCACAAAACATATCTGCGTCACGAACCATGACGTTAGCATCTCATGAACTCCGGAGAACTACCTCCGTGAAGATGATGGCCTAACGCACCTATGGAACTTGTTCTCCCACTCGGTGAGATCATGCATCCCCGCCTCTACCGATGCATTGTTAGCCAAACCAGCAAAAATCGACAGCGGATCTCACCTTCTCCCTTCAGCTGATCACCGGGTGACGTCACCTTCCCTTGCTCTCTGTCGCGCTAACAATGGTGATCCGCACGTCAGCTGAAGTCGCTTGCATGAAATAACACGCAGACGCACTCTGATGTTGCTCCATAGCATATAGAGCCCAAGCGCAAGGTGAGCGACGGTTTTGATGACGTAACCTGACCCAAATGCATTGGTCAAATCAATTTTACATACAGGCTGAAGGTGACATACCTATAAACATGGCTTTCTGTGATTGCCGACATGCCTCGATTGTGAGAATTGTGCTTGAGATTGATGTAACTCTTACCGTTCCTGTAGTGTAGCGGGGTGCTTCGCTATCCTGTGTTGAATTCAGTCTCCACGTTGTTCACAATGGACAAGAGTGACGACTCACGAGGATAAAGTGAGGCCTGAACAGCCATCAACAAATGTTATCGAGCTTCAAGCAAGAAAGCGGCAGGCTCACCCAATGACATTTCCTACGCAGTACTACCAACCAAGGGGTAAATTCGTGGATGCGCATAAGTAAAGGGAAGGTACATACACCGACAAACGTGACCGCAGTTACGAAGGTCCGCTTCGTGAAGCCTCCAACCTAATCCATGTTGTCATGTCAGTTTGTTCCGACGATACATACAGGAGACACATACGTTGTTAGAGATCATGACCAGCGAGAGCGAAAACCCCACAGACTGGAACTGCGTGAACCAGAATGCGACAAGTCGGTTCCACTGCTGGTGAGATGGAAGGTATGTTAAGCAGGCTGCCGCGATGATGCAGGTGATATTCCCTGCTGCCATCGTGATTACGCGCACTGCAAATACGGTGAGTAATAGCGAGAAGCGAATGTGGCTCGGCGTACTGTTCTTGAATCGCATGCAAATGAATCTGCAAAGCTCTGAGCTGTACGTAGACTGCAATGATGGGGCGTCAAGACGAACCCTGCTGAGAGCAAACCGAAAATCTGCACGCCTGACGAGGCCGCATCGAGAAGAGTACTTTGAAGCGTTGTGAAGCCCATGCCCTACAACAGAAAACTTAAGCAAGCCATGCGGCGGGAACTCGAAGAGATCACCAACCTTGATGATGATCGTGGAGAAGTTTGAGATGACACTGCGTAGAGGTGTCGATCATCGTAATATCGTAGGCCGACAAGCAGGAGGCTTACCCGTTGGGAATCTGAGCAGCAATCGAAGCTACAAACAGAAGCCAAGTCTTGGGGTCGATGAGGGCTTCTTGCACCTACGGAAGGGGAAGCGTGAGCTTCGCAACCAGCTCGAGACCGAAAGTGACCTCACTTGATACCATTTGAATTTCTTATTCTTGACGCCCATCTTCCCCTCCGCAACACGCTTTACCGCAATGATCTTCTCTTCTTCAGTCAGGAAGCGAGCCTCGACGGGCGAGTCGGGGAATAAGAACCACAGCACGAACGAGTCTACGACTCAAATCAGTGCTCGCTCGTTATACCATACGAGGTTCACGTACATGAGACGCTGATAGCTCCGAGGATCAGGAAGACATACTTCCAGAGGTCGATGGCTGGATGGGAGATGTGCCCAATACCATAGGCGACGAACCCTCCGAAGATACCGGACCACCCGTTGAACGAGTACCAGATGAGCGAGCGAAAAGGCACCTCGTTCTGAGTATACCATATGGCAGTCAGGATGGTCATTCCGGGGGTCACGATCGCTTCGAGGAGGCCCAAGAAGAAGCTAGGCACGAGAGTTAGCAGGAGCGACGTCGGCCTCGCAAGGACACGTACCGATTCGCCATCGTGCCCGCAAAATTAGTACATGCCGCGGTGCTACAAGAACACGAGTCTCAGGACTGCAACCAGGAGTCTGGGTTACCGATGACTTACGTTAGGACGATTGTACCCCATATGAAGGTAGCTAGTTTATTGTCTCAGTAGCATACTCCGGCGATCGACGAAGACGACGTACTTATTGCCAAGACCTTCCCAGACGGGTAGTGCTGGAGCAACCAACCATCGGGATAGTTCCCAACCAGATAGCCAATGCTATGGGCACGCGTACAATGAGTGGTAGCAAACCATCGGGCAAGGATAGCTCACTAGAATACTACGAAAGCACGGACCAATATAGGAATAGGAAGCATCAACGGAGTCCGAAAGCACTTACCACTGGCGAACCAGCTGTACTGATCTCCGGTCAGATGCAATGCGCGCTTCATGCCGTACAGGTTGCCGTAATTCAGACTGTTCGATTTCGGTCAGAGTTACCAACGCGCTTGCGAGACAAAAGCACGTACGCCGACTTGTCCACTGAGTATGCGTAAGTCACAGTGCGTAGGTTCATAATAGCCGAGAATTACAGATACTCAAGCCTTGACAAACACAAAGCTGAGGAGCCAGCGGTGAGTATTCGTCACGTTCCGTCATGCGGTCAATAACGTACCATAGGCAGGATCCATATATCGATCTTCCTCGCGACCCTGCGAGCAATCGCATCAGCTCAGCAACTATTGAAATGACGATGCCACTGAAAGTCACGGCAGTGCTTACCGTCTACTCTCCTCTGGAGTAACGCGCAAACCCGTCTGCTTCGCGACGTCGAACTCGTGCAGGCCCACATTCGCTTCGCTATCCGACTCAGACGTCGGAGTCTCGAGCACCTTCTCCGGGTCCCTCTCCTTGTCGTGGAGCGAGCCCGCATCATAAGCCGGGGACGGCGCCTTTTCCAAGCTACCAACCATCGTGCGCAACTTCAGGATCACCTAGAAAGCGCCGGAAGCGAGGGTGTATGTCGAGATCAGCGAGCAAAGTAGCCGAAAGCAACAAACATCTCCCAGACTGCAGGGAGACGCTCTAAATATGTGCACTGCGGGAACGGACAGGGAAAGATGTCGTGCTCGCCAAGTGTGGTGGTGTGCTTCTCTCAGGCACCGAGCAAGACGTTCGCCATATCTTATCGGTGGTGGGGCCCCAGTGGCCGCTCCTCCCGGCCCTGTGGCTGGCAGAGAGAGCATCGCGGGCCGTGCTTAGGACGCATACATCGTACCTGTGTGCAGTAAAACCACCAATGAGACGCGATGAGCAAACAAACCAGGAACGGACGAAATCGAAAAGTAACATACCAAACCAAGGCGCCCAATCACGACATAACTGCGCGTCCCTACCAGACATGACTCGTTCGAAGTGCAAAGTCTAGTACTTACGACGGACGACCTTGTATCCAAAATACATAAGTAACTAATACAGTACGCATTAACCCGTGAATGATACGCATAGTTCTATCTAGGCCACCGACTTTTCCTTGCCCTTCTCGATCTCTAACGGGGTATTCTCGGGGCTCTTGGACCGCGTCCGCGACTGCAGCGCGCGCAGCCGGCGCCGCTCTATGCGGCGCATGAGCCAGGTGAAGAGGGTTAGTGTTGCACACGACATGATGATCCAGGCGATGATGACCGCCGCGTTCCGGCCCAGGTGTGAGGCGGTGTTGAACATAATAGTCCGGAGCGCCTGTGACCTGTTGAACCGAAGGGCGATTAATGCCAAGACGTGTAAGCAGAGGGAGGCGGAAGCATACATATTCCTGAAGATGAAGTCAGCCGACATGGCTAAATCCAGGAACGAGGGGCAACGTACCAGATGGGGAAGCCGTTACCGTATGAGTAGAAGGGGTTTTGGAGCTCGTCAGGGAGCACGACGGGCGAGACGTTGTATAGAATCTAGTCATCACAGCGATGTCAGCGCGTACCGGGGCGCAGATGCGTCAGCACACATACCAAGACAAAAAGGAAAAACGGTATGAATCGTGGCGTGAAGATCGTGATCATAGCCTCAAGCGAGAGGCCGAGCGAGGCCATGCCGAGGTAGATGTATGCGAACGAGATAATGAAGCCTGCGCCTTCGCCGAACCTGCGCGAACGGGGATGAACACTTGTTCGCTAGCGACAAGCAAATCAAGACACGCACTTTGTCCCGAGAGGGAGCTTGAATGCGACGTTGATGAGCGCAAAGCTCATGCTCAGCGGGAAGTACGCGAGCAACGGAACCAGGATGCGGAGCCCAATGTATGGCAGGAAATCCATGTGTGGGCCGACGATAGCTCGTGCTGTGGAGTTTGCCATAGTCTGGACAGGCCATCAGTCTACGGAGCGGTCCTGGTAGTGAAATCGCATACAATCATGAACCTGAAGGGAAATGTCAACATAGGGCTGTAGCCAGATGCCAAAGTGCGACTCACGAGAAAATGCATAGAAAGATGTTGCCGACAAGCGTAACAGCCTGTGCGGCTGGGGCACTTCAATTTCCGTTAAATGGTCTGCCTCTGACAAGATGCGACAGGACCTACTTGTACGGACGGAGGTTGACCATCGTCCAACTGATCGCAGGAGCAATCGTCTGAGGGGCAGTGGCGATGAGTTGGAGAGCCGTAGCGTTCGGCTGGCCGTTGTTATTGATCTGCGCGAAGTACCGCTGAGCGCTCGCCGTGGCGTAAGTAGTTGTAGTCTCTTGTAACATTGCGGTTGTGAGTGGAACAAGGTAGTTCCCCGTCGCAATCTCTTGACGAGCCTACGGCGGCGCGTGTCAACAGGACTTCGATGTACTCGTGTCGGAAGGAGGCGGACAGACCTGGGAGTAGAAGACCTTGATGGCCGACGTCGGGTCGTACGTCGTGTCGCCGACCTGTCGAGCAAGCGACAGCTTTTGCGAGATGTTTTCTTGGACTGGAAGATCAATGTGAGTGCGATGCGGCTCGTACGGTATGTCGTTCTAAGTCAAAAGGCGAGTACAGTCTCGGCACTCGAGGGATGAAATGTTCTTGGAGGACGATAGCGCCTCAGTGCCTGCCAAGCGCTGCCAGGATCATGTCCGTTCCTCTTTGACTGGCTGGGTCCAAGGGATGGGATGAAGCAAAGCCTAGCCTCGCAAGTCCTGCTTCTGGTCGCTTGCCGGACGCTCCGTTCGGCAGCAGCGCGGGCTGAGATGCCGAGCGTGCCGATATGGGCGCTCCAGATGCCGAGAGGTTCGTAGCGCAGCCCAAACGTGCCAGCGGCGACATGTAACAACCCGATAGCAGGGAACACAGCGAAGAACAAACGTGCGAAGGCGGCGTCATACCCGTATAAAATGAGAGACTTGAGCAAAACAAACGCCCCACTCACCTACTACTGCGATCCATATCTGCTCCTGAGCGACCATGATAGCCAAATCATCGTCGCTGCCGACGACGTCCGGGTCCATGACCTGCCAGTTGAGCCGAGGGCCTGGCGGTGCGTACTTGCTCAACGCAGCCACCAAGCCCTGGCCAACGCGGCCAGTGTCGCGGCTGACGAACCATGCGTCTAGGTTCCCTGTCAGCTTGGCGGAATTGGCGAGAGCGCCCCAGTAACTAGACGAAGAGCGTCAGCGAAGTCCATTCCCGGAGTTGATATAGTTCATGGAGTAGCTTCCAGTCTTGACGGCATGCATGAAATGCGCACGTGCTGAGTGGCGTGTACGGTAGGCGTACATAGTACAGTTCTTTCTCTCGACGACTTGAAGGACGCCGGCTCGTTCGCCAACGAATACCCATGTCTTCAGACCGAATGCACTCACACAGGGAGAGTGATCCACATGAGGACCATGATTAATGCTGTTGCCCGGGCAATAATGATGAAGTATTCCCTGCGCAAGGGTGCAAATCGTGGGGAGAAGACTGTTTGGTCCGTTCGGGCGGCCGCAGATGAGCATCGCGCCGAAGAACAACGAGAGGTGACGCGAAACTCACAGCCATAGTGCCCGGGCACTTCCGTGGGTTCATCAGGCAGCAACGAAGGCTTCCTGGAGGGTTTGTTCTCGCCGTCGTCTCGGACCTCCTGCTGGACGATGCCGCTCGAGGCTCGGGACAGTGGTGATTGTGCCGTGTGGTCGGCATGCCGATCTGCCGAAGACCCGTGGCCGATGGATTCCGCAGCGTGGTAGGGCTCTACGGCATCCGTCCGGCTGGAGGCAGACGCATCCATCTTCCAGTAGCCGTGGGGGCGAGTACTTATCGGGGAGCAGACGTGGTCGCCGTCGAGGACAACGGCGGGCGACGTCCGTTGCTCTCGCTCTCCCCCGTGTCCTCGCCCTCGCCTGCCACGGCCGATGGGCGTTCACCCCACCTCCATCATTCTGATCAGATAGCATACAGCCGCGTTGCTATCTAGTGTTGCTTACCGGATTCCGAACAAGTCCGATATGGTGTAGTGGCTAACATTATCGCCTCTCACGCGATAGCCCGGGGTTCGATTCCCCGTGTCGGAATTTTGCTTTTTCGACGAGGGCGCAACCCGTTTTCTTCCACTTTGTTATTACTCCACTAACTGTCGCACACTTTCTGTGCATTCAGGAAACGGATGACTGCTCAAAATGCAACTTGAATCACATTCATTCCAGCATCGAACCAAAGTACTCTGCTAACTCCATCAGTTTCACCATCCATCCGCGCCGCCGCTCACTTCCTCCAAGTCTGCGACGTCAAATTGTTCCTGTGTTCTTCACAACAGAGCTGCAATACCGTCGGGGATGCAAGCATCCGGCTAGGGGACAATGTGAATATTTGCCAACAGCCAATACGAAAAGCCACCGAAATCCTCACGCCAATGTCAGACAAATTGGTGATGTCCAAGGCTTCGGATAGGATAACGAGAACGCCTGGGGCCAAGGACGAGACGGAGGTGCAAGTCCAGCTGACGACAGTGGTCCCCAAAATATCGATATCAGGGCATCCTGAGCAAGCTGCGCCGACCGTGGTGCAAGTCAGACCGAGATCTCCGCCTTCGCCACTGCAGACCAGGCCGCTAGCCTCGCGAGTTTCGAGAGTAGTCGGCGAGGCGGCGGCTGCAGTGACGATGGTCGCGACTGCGACAAGCTTGAAGACGGCGGTGGTGAACTGCATACTGTTGGAAATGCGGTAGGGTAAGCAGGAAGGAAGTCGGGACAGAGAGAAATGCCTCGCTCACTTTGGCTGGGTTGTAAGTGCTGAATGAGTACTTGCTGCAGTACACAGCCAGCAGTACGGTTTATAAAGACTTCCCGAGCGTCTGATTCCCCCTCTTGCGGCATATTATCTTGGGTCTTCCGACGCTGTTCATGCCAATAAATCTGACATGAAATATTCGCGAACGTACGACGGCGTAGCTCAGGCTGTCACCCAGGTACATGGCTCCGCGGAGTGCCATTGGAGTGCGATACTCGCCCGAGCTAGTCTTTAGTGTTGTTTGACTTCCTCGCAGAATCACTCTCCTTTTGCACTCCGCCGCCTCTAATTGACATGCAGCAGACAGATAGCGGATATTCAATAATGAATGACTGCATTCGCTTGCCTATTGGATTTTTTATGATGAGCAACCAGCGTGCTTTCATTATCCACGCACATCATGTCCAGAGAAATTCATGCATGCTACAGCAGAAACAGGGTGCTCTGCCGAGTGCGCGTAGAGCCTTGAAGCATCTCTGAATCAAAAATGAGTAAGCAATCGTCCAGATACTCAACTGACCCGCTCGCCCTGTCATTCGGGCCCGCCTGACTCACAGCCAGAATAGAGCATGCACCGGCAGATCGTCACCAGAAGCATGAATGACAGTATGAATTGTGGGTCCGACACAAGCTTCTCCCGGTGGTACATTCATTGCCCGTAGCCGGTACTGCTTCGCACGGGATGTTGAGCTAAATGTCAATTAGGCTAGGGCGGTGCACCCTGGTCTACGCAGCGAGGGGCGTCAAACAGCCGTATAACCTTTGCTGCGCGTGCGCTGCGAGATCAGCGAGTGACATCTGGTGCGTCATCACATGTGCTCTCCATCATAGGCACATTGTCGCTGAGAATGCAGGTGAGAGGAATGGTCGGCATATCTGTAGATGGCACCGTCTGTGAGCAGCTCTGACGAGGCCATAGCAGTAACGCCTGTCGAAGTAAACTTTCAACATATGTTTCGTTTTCTCCACGAGCTGATGGGATCACATGGGTCCGTCACTCAAAGTAGACGAGCGGATCACCTGCCTGGACGGTGCCGCCCTCTCGGACCCCACGTCCAAACCCTACCACCTTCCGACCAACGTTCTCTTCTTCTGCTTGGACGTTCACCTCGGTCTTCATCGCTTCGAGAATTATGAGAACATCCCCAGCAGACTTGACAACGTCTCCGATGGAGCACTTGATCTTCCAGACTTGTGCCGTCAGTGACGATGTGACGCACGGGCCTCCATCGCCTCCTGCAAAGCGAGTCAATCATACCCCAGGGAGCACGGAACCCATCGAAAACGTACCCGGGTCGATGGGCTCAGGCACAGCTGACCGACGGGCTTCCAGCTCTTCACGACGCTGCTGGTCCCATTCCGCAAATAGAACTTTCTCGCTGTTGGGTACTGATCAATGAAGTATGCGTGGCGTCGTATGTCTCACGCTTACCGTGCCTCTTCGGCAGCGACTCCACGTGCCTGCCTTTCCTTGAAATGTCTGACTTCGTCACTAATGCCGCGCACAAAGGCGGTATATTCCGCCATAGAGAAGGTCCGGTCCTCAATCCTGAATGCGTATTGTCCAGCATCAAAGCGATTCTCGGCCTAATCATGCCGGTGGGTAAGCGGCCATGTGAAGACTTGAAGTACTGCTCACCTGTAGATACTGTTCCTCGCTGACTGCTTCAAAGACCACCTGACCACACTTGTCAATCAAGACTACTCAGGACAGTCAGCGGTTCTTACTTGATCGAAGGGCCGCAATAGCCAAGGACTATCGGGGCTAAAGTCGCGCCCCTTGCCCCAGGTCTGCCATGGAGGTAGCGTCCTGCCGAATAGCTGATAACCGCCGGGAGACTGGATAGGGTATATTGCAGCGACGAGACCGGCGATGCCGATTGCGCCCTGAAGGTCGGTCAGCAAAGTTAGCGCCAAATCTATAGCTACTTCGGATGCACGCACCCGAGGCGTATACGTTCGCGAGGGATTCATCTTTTGTCCTACCAGTCTGGAACGTGGATCAATCTATACGTCCTGATGTCATCCGCAGGAACCGGTGGTAGACTTCAATATTCATACGCACCGGGACTAGGAAAGGGCAGGCTAGGTAAAAGCCTACGCCGAGGACAAGCTAACCGACAACATGAGGTGGGCGAATCATGCCAGCGTGCGCTGAACTTACCCAGTCAGTGCCAACCAGCTTCTTCAAGGCCTCTTCCGCGTTCTCGAAACCGTTGTTGCGAGCCAGATACTCTATGTTGCTGGGCAGATAGGCAGCTGTCGCGCGGGTACTCCGCATGTACTTCTCCAGAGCTTCGCGGTTCCACCGGTCGTCGAGTACCGTGGGAAACGTAATCCGACGGCCCGGAAAAGTAAGCGACTCGACGCTGGCAGGAAGTGAGTGTTCAGCATTGATGAGCGACGCGAGCACTGCTGCTTGCGTGGAGATGAGTGGGTCAAAGTGAACCTTGTTGAGATTTGCGTTAGTTGCGGCTGTATTCCTGATCGTTAGGAGGCCACTGACCATCGTTGAGCGAATGCACGGTGCAAGGAACCATATTCCGGGTATGGCACATCTTCTGATCTCGGTCTCGAACGCGTGGATCCGAGCGCGTACCGCGAAGTCGAGCGTCATCTCGCCACATTCAACTAGAATTGCCGAATCCCCAGCTTGACGAAATACAACCCCGGGACGTCCGCTGGAAGGGTCGGGATGCGTATCATGCAAGCGAGGGTCGATATCATGGTCTGTGGCGTTCAACGTAGGAAGGAAGGGCGGGAAGGATCTCGAAGAACTCGTTGCTTCTTGCATCTCCCGGAAGAATCGCTCTTCCGCTTGGTACAGACCGATCGCTTGTTGGTAAGAGATACGCTTGAATCTCACTGTAGAACCTGCCCGTAGTTGTCCTAGCTTCCATCTGTAACCGCCTGAATATGACTTCGTAGCACCACTCTGAATACGGCACTCACAGCTCTGCGCTTGCGATCGTACACACACAAACATAGCCTCCCATGTCCGGACCTTCGTTCGTCAAGATAACAGGCGTGTCACCATTCACATTGACTGTCCCGAAAGCATATCCGTTGTCGAGTATGTTGCTCGGGTGCGATCCGCCTTCGCCGCCATTCTCGCGCGCCCATGCGATACGGGGGCCTTCGAGGCGGACGCCCATCCGATTGCTCGCAGCGCTAACAGTCCACTTCGTCGTAAAGAACTTCGCGATGCCTTGCTCTGTGATGAACGTTGGATCGCTTTGCGGGCCGGAGAGAACATGTATAGTCCAGTCGGAGGGATAGATGGGAATGAGATGTTCTGGAAGCGCAAGCGCCGACTCCTCTGCAGCGCCAGGAGCGCAGTCGCCAAGGACAACCTGATCTCCAGCTGTAAGCCCGCGCCCTTGGTACCCTCCCAAACCCATTGAAGTCGACTTCGAGCCCAGATATTTCGGTATCTCAGGAAATCCTCCTCTCATCGCGAGATACGCACGCATGCCGGTGCCTTGAATGGGACCGATGGCAAGCTTCGCACCTGCCGGGACGGCGACTCGTTTCCACGTTCGTATCTCGTTCCCATCGACCGTCACTTTCGCGGAGGCGCCAGTCACGGCAACGACAGCTGCGACATGGAAGAGAAGACGGCATCCTGTGAGTGTAGCCTCAAGACCTTCTGTGCCAGGATCGTTGCCGACGAGAATATTTGCGATACGGAAGGCAAGAGAGTCCATAGGACCGCTACGAGGGATGCCAAGACCAATGCGGCGACCAGGATAATCTTGCACTGTCGTCTCCAACCCACCGCTCAGGACTGTGAAGGCTCTAAGTGCCGATAGTCAGTGTGGGTTCTTGATGTCATAAAGCAATACGAACTTTGGGACGAAGCTGAATGTATGCAAGAATGTCGTAGTCGCGTTCCCAAATTGAAATGTTTGCGAGCCACATATAGCAAGGAGGTACTGGACGTTGTTAGGAGGACCGAGCACTTCCGTCTCCTTCAAGACAGATGTGAGGCGTTGGATAGCCTCAACGCGAGTCGACCCTGTGACAACGAGTTTGCACGCGAGTGGGTCGTAGTACGGAGTGATGGTCGTTCCGGACTCAACCCAAGATTCGACCCGCAGCCAGTCTACTTCTGGGAGCTTGACCTGCTGAAGAACGCCGGGGCAAGGCTTGAATTGCGCTGCCGGATTTTCACAGTACAGACGAACTTCGATAGCGTGACAGTGGGGTGGCGCCTCGTAGAGTGCTTGATTAAGGAAAGGATGGGATAGGATTTCAGAACTCTTGCCATCGTGCCGTGCAATGCCTTGCAAGATCATCAATTCGACGATGTCGAGACCCGGGTTGACTTGCTCAGTGACAGGATGCTCCACCTACACATTGCCATTTGAATCCTCAGCATGCCTACACCTACAAAGCTCAAATAGCCCACCTGCAGTCGTGTGTTCATTTCCAGGAAGAAGAATTCACCACTGACATCGTCGACGAGGAACTCCACAGTCCCTGCGGACTCGTAAGTGACATGCTCGGAGAGACGGACCGCTGCGATGCACATCTTCTCTCGGATATCTGCGATACGGCTAGCCAGATAAGCAGAAGTTGCAGGATGGTCACGGGGACTGACCGGGGTGCCGAAGCATGAACGGGCTGGGAGCTTCTTCTATGACCTTCTGGTGCCTCCTCTGTACGCTGCATTCGCGCTCGCCCATATGGATAGCGTGGCCGGCCCCGTCACCGAACACCTGTACGATCATTGTCTATAGTATTCCGAAAGGAGAAAGACGCCGTAACGTACCTGTACTTCCACGTGCCGTGCGGCGAGATAGTACCTCTCAATGAACAATCCATTGTTATGGAATAGCGTCTACGACAGATTGAGAAGATAGACTTGTATTCCCAAGAAGGCACAAGAAACGGCTCACCTCTGCGCGGGCTTGAGTACCTGCAAACCTGGCTCTCAGTTCGTCGACCGTGGCGCATACCACTAGCCCCATGCCGCCTCCGCCAGCTGTCGACTTGAGCATCACCGGAAAACCTATCTCCTCAGCAGAGGCAACAGCCTCATTCATATCTTGCAGCAAGCCATTCGACCCGGGCACCAGCGGAACATCTACCTCCCTGGCAAGCTCGCGCGCGCGATGCTTCAGCCCCATAGCTTCGATCGTCTCCGCCCGCGGCCCAAGCCAGATTACTCCCGCATCCGCCACCTTCCTCGCGAAGTCACTGTTCTCCGAGAGAAAGCCATATCCTGGATGGAGTAGAGTTACGCCTCGCTCCTTGCATACAGCTATAATGGCCTCCGCATCTATGTATCCGCGCGCATTGGAGACAGGGTCTTCGTCTTGTTCGCGGAGAGGTGCCGCTTCATCTGCAAGAGTGACGTGCGGGGAGGTCGCGTCGGAGCGTGTGTACACAGCAAGCGTGCGTATTCCTAGACGTTTCGCGGTGCGCAGGATACGCACCGCAATCTCGCCGCGATTTGCAACGAGGAGCGTATGAGTCGATGCGCCAGAGTCGAGGTTCATCACAGAGTAAAAGGAAGGGTAGGTGTGAAAGGCCAGGCTCTAGCACACATGAGATAGCGAAGTGTTGGAGCTCCGATAGCGAGGGAACTTGGATTGATTAACGGTAAACCTTATTCGGATTGAGGTATCCGCATGCATGGCCTCAACTCGTGACTCCTCTGAGGCAGAGTGGTGGCATCTGCCCAGAAACAGTAAGTAGCAAGCCGATTAGTAGGACAAAGACATGCTTAGCAAGTAACGGAGAGCACACCTGAAATTGCACGGAAGCCGTTAGTGTCATCATAGACGACATTGCAATTGAGGATCTTCTCTGTCTATTGGAGAGTATAACGAGTGTTTTCCACGGAAAAAAACCATTGAAGACGGTTCGATGGTGGCTGCGGCTCGTGAAGAAGCAAGCTACAAGATTGGAATTCAAGAAGTACGTCGTCATCGACTCTGGCGTCTAGCATGCCAAATCAGGCTGGAAGCGCGCAAGGTCGCTTGCAATTGGATGTCCTCAGACATCCAAAGCTTTACTTGAGTGTATTGGAAACAGGTTCGCATTGCCTTGCAGCCTAATGGAGGTGTTTGATAAACAACTACGACGTCCCACTTCGTGGCCTTGACTCTATAACACGTGACAGACGACGCAGCAGATCCACGCAGTACAGCTCCCTGCCAGAACGCAGCTGTGCGTGTTCCGCCAAAGGGTTTTCAAGAGAAAAAACCATCCACATGTTATCAGCTTACGGACTCACATGACACACCAATAATCAGCGCCTACATAACAACGCGCGAAGCAAGCAAGTCGCATTCTAAGGTGACGCGGTGACGACTGAGGTGAAACCGACCGAGCGAGGTCAGACAAAGGACGATGAGCAAAGGACGATGAGCAAAGGACGATGAGCAAGTTCGATGGGTGGCGGCGGCAGGTTCAAGACCCATAACTACACCGGCATGACAATGAAGACAAAGGTGCCTCCAGAATGTATATAACCCAGCCCCATCTCTTCACAGAGTTCCGTCCTTGCTTGCTCTACTCCCCGGTCCTCTGGTAGCCACCTCCGTGATTGTTCGACCCGGCCTCTCGTTCCATTCAGATCCCCTGAGTGCCTGCCAGGGGCAGAGTACGCCCCTCCCGAGAGCATGGACCTCAACACACTGTCGCTACCCTCGACAAGCAATTCCGTAAACGAGGGCGTTCGCATTCCACAGCGCCACTCGAACCACAGGCTCGCCACACTGCTCGGCATCTCTGAGGACGAGGACGGAGGGATGTATGATGCGCCCATCTGTGTCCCCGACTCAATATACACAGACGAAGACGACGATCTTGCCCAGCTCGGTGGGGTCGCCGAAACGCTCGTGGCGAAGACGCGGGCACCCTCGTTCGGCGGTCACGACGTGTCGGACGAGCAGGCTCTCATCGGTGGGCCCGACGGGGTGAAGGCGCGAGGGAAGGGGAATGTTCGACAGAGGTTGGCCGGGTTCATGCCCTTCCGCAGGCGGAAGGCCGCTTCAACAACTCTCTTCGGGCGAGCGATGCTGCCAAGTCGTGTTCCGGAGGGCTCGTCAAGCCATAGAGATCCATCCGAGGATTGGAATGCGATCCAACACGACACGGGTGGAAGCGGCGGCGGCGGGGAGCAAACGGCAGAGGACGCAGAAACGGCGACTCACGACGAAGGGTTCCACTCTGCGGGCTCAGCCACCGGGCAGTGGATGACTTTCCCAACCCTCGTTACCCCCATCAAGGCGCAGTCGTTCTCTGCGCCCACAACCCCCAGGCGGTCCCCTCGCAGCGCAAGAAGCAGGCACACCCCGGGATCGGCCAAGTCGTGGCTGTCTGAACTGTCCGCCTCGAGCGAGCTCAGCGCAATGAGCTCGCTGCGCCGGAAGACTGCCAAGCGGAAGGCTCGGCTCTCGCTGGAGCCGAATCCGCAGATGAAGTCCATGAAGAAGTCGATACAGCTTCTGGGCCCCGAGGCGGCGGGCGTCGTTGCGAGAGGGACAGACGTGTCTCCGAATAAGTTGAGGTACATCGACTTTGGTCGGCAGATGAGAGACTACATGAGGCGCTATATGTAGATCATATTGAGCGGATATACCCTTCGAGGCTGATAGGTTATGTATCGTACTGCGTAACTCGACCTAGGTCTCGGACTTACTGTACAGTGTACTAGTTTTCGCCGTTGCAGCCAGTTAATGCCCTTTCTTGCTGTTGTCCGTTATCCACTGGTACGTTGTGAAGCGTAGCCACGGAAGATGAGCGAAAGGAAGCAGACCTTTGTGATGACACTGATGAGTCGGAGTAGGCGACGCTGGAGAGGGGAGACAAGCGCTTCGCCACAGCCAGATCTACCACCAGCCAAAATGTATGCCACATACCCGGGTCGAACGAGTGACCTCCCCATCACCATCACGGTACAAGTGGGGCGCGCATACCACTACGCCAATGCGGCAGTTGAATTATTTACTTATTTGCTATTCATGATTTGGGTCGCAAGAGACCGACGGGTCCAGGGACATCCAGGCTGTAGCCGGCTGAGTGGTGGCTGTATCTTGCCTCCTACCATGTTCACAGCCCCAGAGCGCATGGACGCTCTACACAAACCAAGTCACAACCGACAGATACTGTACGGACTTCATTGTGACGCCGGCTGACTGCAGATAGCCTTTCTGGATGACGTCGTGTCTTCAAGTAGCGACCGCGGTCCTGCGCACATTCAAACATGATCAAACATGGAACCTGGATGCTCACGCTCTCGACCTTCCTAGACCGAAGCCTAATACAAATGGTCAGCTGCCCCATATTGAACAGCTGTTCCGTGTGCCCCACATCTGTCTCTGCCGGGACAAATGCCGGTGGGCCTTCCCAGGCCAGATGTATTCTAGTCCTGCTCTAGAGGGGTCTTGAGACCTGCGCCCGTTGCAGCATCTGTCGATATTGACATGCGCGTCGGTGGCCCGACTCTGGAGAGCTTATTCTTGCTGAACCTACATAACCCTGCACGGGACCGTAGCCACACCCCATCTGTGTTGGCGACTTTCCTGTCTCTGACTGTGCTCTCTTCTGCATCTGGCCCCAGACTTTGTGCCCACTTTCGCTGGCTTCGACGATCATCGTCCAACAACACAAGACCTATTTCTCCATGTCTCCCCTCGCCCGAGCTAGCCAAACATCCTTCCGTACCCTTGCTAGGACGTCGCCCTCGCACGTGAGGACACTCTACACGAATAGGGAGCACGTCGCACACAACGTCCGTCCTCTCCTTCCTCTCACCTACCTCTCCTTACTAACGCCCTTTCGCGCGCTTCTGCAGAACTTCCCCTTCTCCTACGAAAACAAGCGCAAGTTTGCTGTGAAGATAGGTGCCTCGCTCACAGTGGCATTCCTCGTCCCTTTCATCGCCGCAGGCTACCAGCTGTGAGTATCCTGTCGTTTTGCTCGCGCTCGTGGAAGACATCCCAGAACTGATATAGGGCGACGGTGGCAGGCGGAAGTCCGCTGGCGGCGCGAATTGAGGAGACGATGCTGCACTTCTGCGAGTGCGAGCTGAGGCAACGGCCGAGAGTATGAGCTTCGAATTTGGTTAATTTCCGGAATGTGCGAAGACGGGTAGTGGTGAGGGAGAGGACAATCGCCCATGGGCGGTGGACCGAAACGTATTCTGTATCATAGTCGCTGTTCTGCATGGCACACTTTCTATTGCATATCATTGTTCTAAATCCCTGCGAAGCGCCTCTTCAGCAAGTATCTCAAGTGTCCTTGTTTCAAGGCCGAGGTTTCGGATTCACGGGGATCCCGTCTTCATGTCATCCATACTACGGAAACCTTCCTTATCCAGCTCTACAAGTTGCTCGTTCGGACAAGCATAACGCTTCGTTGCCAACCCGGAAGAAGCTGGATCGCGTCTTCTCGTGTTCCGTTCTGGCGTCCGAATCGACGTCCGAACGTTGAGAAGGAGAGCGACTTGAATGGTAGCGAGCGGGTTCGCTGGCGCCATGCGCACGGTGCCGGCAGCGAAATGCTCGCATTAAGATTTGTCAAGGGCAAACAAGATGATGGTCACCGTTGGGTATATACCCTATAGCAGTCAGTCCTCGACAGTCCTCGGTAGAAGGCAGATTGAGAGTGGCTCACCACTAACGCGACTAAACACCCTTCTGTGAACTATAGTACTCCGTTGTACCATATTCCGAGCCCCAAATCAATGGAACCAAGATCATCTGTCGATAGGTATCGGATAGCTTGAAAGAGACAATATTCAATTATGTAAGTATGGGGATTAGTGGGACTCGGTTGTGCTTCTTTGGCATAGTCTCGTTTCATGCGGGTCCCTCCACCAACTTCGCTATGATCAAGCGATGACTCAATAATTCAAACCATATTCCGGGCAGCTAATCTCCCAGGGCTTTGTAGCGCAATGGGGACACGTATAGTCGTCTGACGATGCTTATAACCACTGGAGTCCCGGTGCGGAATCCTCGCAGCCACTGGCGAGCGCTTCAAGGCGGACGAAACCGGGGATCGCCACATGGCATGCCGCCTGTTGCCGCTGTCAGAGCGCCGGAACGAACAAGCAGTACTTCCGTCCTCCATCTCCTCGCCTGTCAGTAGCTGCTATTTTCCATGTAACCTCATGCGTCTCCACTAGTGACACTGAAGGAACTTCCTGAACAATGGTTAATCTTTGCTCGATATCTGCACCATCTAGCGTCTCCATCTGGCGCAAAGTTCCATCTCTGCAGAGAATTATCCATGACGACCTGTTCTCGAGTGTAGCGGTGTGCAGGGTATGGGCAAGAGGAATCTGCTCATCCCTTCGGTATCGTGTTTGGGGGTGCTCAGCGAGTATTTTCAATCTATCTCTGGTCATTGTATCGACTTCCTTCGAAACATTGATTGCACATGGAGGGATGTTTGGACTGCAGCACCGAAAGCGATCTTGGCTTGAAGGTGAGTCACGGTATTCTGACTATAACCATTGCATACTCCTGTTCTGTACTGTCTTGTGTTGTGTCTTCTCTGGGCGGATATCCAGGTATCTCCTGTCATTGTGTGCGTGTGCATTATTAAATTTGCTCTATCACGCAACATGTGCTGGCTCCAATGAGCCCAGTCTCTGCCAATGTAGACTGATCCCCCAGATTTCTCGTCACTGGGGAGTAGCGTTCATCAACTTAATCCCTTCTGTCCCTGGCTCATGTTGTGTGGTTGCTTACCTTTGGACGGCCTAGATCGATTCCATCCGTCGTTCGAAGTCGGCAAATGTAGGCTGTCGGGATCGTGGCGCACCGGTGAGACGAAACCCTTTGTTTCACTCCGGCGGAAGCATGAAAACCATGCTTGTTAGCCAATGGCTCCATTGTTCGGCAACTCGCCTCCGGGTACGCATGTGGCCGTCCCTCTATTCCCGTAAATTACGTTGTGTGCGAACGCAGGTAAGAGCCTTACCTGACACGGGGCGAGCAAGAAGGCCTACCACATGTCTCCGTGCCTCCCTCCTCCTTTCGCGCCAGCTTTGCTATGCGTCGCTCACGGCGGTTTTCATACAGACGAACACGCACCACATGCTCAGGGCGTGCGTGACGTGGAAACCCCACCCTTACGCCCCAAGCACGGCACTTTCTCGCGACCAATCACTATCAGCCTACAAGCGGGTTCACTCAGTCATAGCTCGGCTCGGCGACTAGAGCCCCTTAAGAAGCGGCCCAGTCTGATTTCGGCCGTCTTTCCCCGGATTACAAGGTGAGTTCCGCCAACCCTTCTCTCGCCCGCAGTTAGTCTTCATGTCTATCCTGATCATATGCGATCATGCACCGTACAATGCTATATGTACCGCATCCCTTCATTGATCATCTTTCAGAAGCGAGCGCTCTGGTGACAGCTCCCTGCTTGCGTTAGAGATCGGCAGCGCCACGTCGTATGATGCGCCGTATAATTGCGCGTTCGGATGCGCTATGTGGCACTCCATGAACCTGTGGCTACCGTGGCACAATCAGTGTCCTTAGCCAACACATCTGTCCGGCTCTTGGAGTTCCTTCGCTGGCGTGATTCCAGGATTCCGGGCTGATGCAGCGGCGTATGGGTCACAGACCGCTGCGTGCATGGGCGCCATGGTGAGTCGTGAGACAAGCACTTCCGCTTTGGGGCGTATCATATCATCATTGACTTCATGTCTCTCACTTGGGATCCACCGTCTTGTACCTAGTGGCTGACACGAAGTCAGCGCGGAGCCGCGGCGACGTCCACGCAGCTACTGTACATGCGCATGGCTTCGGACCTTATACTATTTGGACCTTGGGTGCTTGGCTTTTGGCAGCGACTGGAGGCTGTTGGGACATGACTCTGGAGCCCTTCTCGTTAGCTTACGTCATCTTACCGCCTCCCACGACAGTTGAAGCCCTTATTCCCCTCGGACGCCGGTACCGCAAGTTCAGGGCGCGCAAAGTTCGTACACCGTTCATTATGTGCATGGCGAGGCCTGGAATACCTTCCGAGGGATACAACGCTCCGAAGCAGCCCCAATTGATGACTTCGATCCGCCCTCCTTGAAGCTTGGTGAGCGAAGGCACCGAAATTTCACCAACGCTGGAGCTTCTTGGGCATCTCCGCCCCGCCCCATGTGCTTTTGCCCTGACATCTATTGTAATCACGAGATAAGCCCCTTGCCTGACTAAGGAATTCTCGTCGTTACCGCCCCTCCTCGTGTACTTGCTCGTCCAGTCAGGACACAGAGGGGACATGGCGATCTCTCTCAGGTGTTCATCATTGTGGCGCCCGACAGCCCTAAAGAGCGTCTATTCCGGGGGTTCTACCTGCGCACGAGACGACGGACGCATCTCCGGTGTGGCGATTTCGAAGGTACGCGCGCCCGTTTGTCTGTTCCGGTGTTCAAACTGAGCGTAGCCATATCCGTGCGGGTCGCCACTCCTCTTCCAGCAGATCAGAGATCCGCAGCGCCGGGAATCGCCAGCCTCGGCATTCCGAGCCTCCGTGTGCCATTCGCCCATTATCTCGTCCTTACGGCGAAGGAATACGGTGGAGCAGTAAGTCTAGGTCCATCGGTCCACGAGCCCGTGACTCCACAGGAAATAACGTACTTCCCTGCGCAGATCGCCTGGACGACAGTCCAATCCGCTTTGGTGCCGTGCTGGTGCCGGAAAACGCAGCAAGAGAATTGCAGGGATATACATCGATGCTCCCAGCAGATTTCTTACACTCAAGCGTTCAGGACACGAGCTCCACGTATGTCGCCAGATGACTTGGTGCCCTTCGGGGCGCCAAGCCGTCCGAATCGGCATGTGCTCAAGAAAGAAGCCAGGGTCCGATCCCGCGTCCGAGCAGCTGGTGCCACCATAAAGTCCTTGGGCATCTCGCGTCTCTACTCACTCATATCATTATCGGAGACCTACTGAATTGGGGTATATTCTTCCCGCAAACAAGCGTTTCGCTCCTCATCCCTACGCCGCTATGGCTTGTGGGGTGGCTGATGTCGCGCAGACTTCCCCCGAGTGGACACCTATGTCAAAAGAGACCATACTCTGTTGGATCTGCACCGGTCATCGGTGCGCCCATGTGCCTCACGTTCTCATGGGCCGCCGGGGAGGACTATTGCCACTGTCCTTGAGTGGAAGCCCTACCATGCTGGCCCACTCTGCATGCGCCCACGCACCATCTGATTCACAGCCAGCGGCACGCTTTACGGACGCCCGGCGCCATTCTGTTCCACCTCTCGGATTCGCAGACACAGCGGTACTATAAATGTAGCTGGTCTCGACCTCGGCCTTCCTCGCTGCGAGCTGCATCCCTCCATAACTCCCCTCCTCTCGAGCCTGAGTTCGAGGCCTTCCAGCTCGCGCATCCAGCGTCCCCTTCCCCTCATCGATCCCTTCCTTTCCGTCTCACTTCTCCTGCTACAAGATGTACGCGCTCCTATCGTTACTTATTCTGGCTAGCCTTGGAGTCAATGCTTTCGGCGCAACGTACTCCCAGTCCGACAGCCACACGGGGACTGGATTCCTCAAGTCGTTCACCCACGAGGCAATTTCCGACCCTACACACGGTCGAGTGTACGTAGGCGTTCCGTATTGTCTACCCCGGTTCCGCGCTGCGGATGTGCGGACCGATATCGTTGTTTTGATCCGTCGCTGACATGTCCCGACTTCTACTTCTGTAGGAATTATGTGGATCAGTCGACCGCCCTTGCGAAGAACCTCACCTTTGCGAGTGGGGACACGTTCATCATCCGCGCCGACCACACCACGACCCTGAGCTCAAGTGGCCCCGGACGGGACTCGGTCAGACTGCAGAGCAATAAGCAATACACGACCCACGTTACCATGTTAGTATTCCGTTTCTGTATGTTTTGGCTCTCACAGTGGCATATCTAATCGTGGACATCTCTTGGCCTGTGCTCTGCGCAGTTGGAACATCCGCCATATGCCACAAGGATGCGGGTGAGTCTCGAGAGAACCGCACCGGTAGTAGAGCGTAGGTTGACACGTATGTCTACTGTAGCACCTGGCCCGCTGTGTGGGAGGTCGGCGCTGACTGGCCCAACAATGGTCAGTGTTCTCACGGCGCCACTACACCCACACCTCGTGATCCTCACTGCGTCCCCTATAGGTGAAGTGGACATCCTCGAGGGCGTCAACGACCAGTCGCCCAATCAGGCCACGCTGCACACGAGCTCAGGTCCGTCGAATCATAACATTGTATTCATGGTATCTCCTTACTTAGACGTCCATGTATCTCTAGGGTGTTCGATGCCGTCATCGCGCGATCAATCAGGGTGGGTTCTGCCCCCTTTCTCGTCGACGACCTGCGCTTCCATTTGAGCTGTCTCTTGTCCTCCCGCGCATGTCTTCGCAGATCACGATGACATACTGATCCATACCAACTGGACAGGAATTCTGTCGGAAACAACTGCGATACTGCCTCCACCAACAACGCCGGGTGCGGGGTCCAGGTGACCCAATCGAATAGCTACGGCCCCTCATTCAATTCGAATGGCGGCGGCTGGTACGCGATGGAGCGCACCGACACCGAGGTCAAGGTCTGGTTCTGGCCCCGCAACGGCAACGTCCCTTCTGACGTCGCGAACGGCGAAACCACCATCGACACCGACGGCTGGGTAAGTTTGTCACAACTTTGCTTGTTCGACCCGGCGTTCCGCCTCGGAGCAGAGCAGATCTGACACGCAACGCTGCTCGTTCATCAGGGCCAACCCTTCGCGTACTTCCCGGACACAGACTGCGACATCAACTCCCACTTCGGGCCGCAGAACCTGATCATCAATCTCACGTTCTGCGGCGACTGGGCTGGCGCCGTTTTCGACTCTGACAACTGCCCTGGCGACTGTGCTAGTGCGTACTGGTTTCTCCGTGCACCTCTACGAGCCCCCATGCTAACGCCCCGTCGCTCCCACCAGCCTATGTCAATGAGAACCCCGCCGCGTTCACGAACGCGTACTTCGACATTGCCTGGCTCAAGATCTACGAGTGAAGCACTCGTTCCAACTGCGCTCCCTCGTTTGCCATGAAACCCTCGTCACGACCGTCACGAATTATATTATAGATGCGAAAACGTTCCACTGTCAATCATCCACGTCTCGCTCTCATGTCTCTACTCGTGTATCATCATCCGCTCTCTAACCGGTGTAAATGTAGTATCTTGGGTCAGGGGCTTATCTGCTGTATCGTCTATTCCGAGTCGTGCAATGCAAATGTGAGCTGGGTTCTCGATGCAATGCCATGCCGCGTAAACCTTTGGCCAAGTGTGTACTAGAGCAGATGAGTCCGAGGTTTCAGCGGAGGGTTCCTGGTCAGGGGCAATCTTCGTGGGCAGCGCTCCCCAAGCATAGCATACCGTACACTTCACTGTCATAGAGGCAGCACCGTTAGCTCACTGCAACAGTCAATAAGACCAAACATGTGTCGACAGGACTTCCATGAGAGTCAAGGGATTGTACATAGCTCGCAACATGACCCAGATCTATCAAGCTGAGCTCAGCGACTCCTTCGCATCATGGGACAATGTTGCTACATACAACTCCTCTCTAGGTGGTCTGTTCATCACGTATCCCATGTATCCCAGGGCATATCTTACGTATCAATCTACTTTCTTTTACACGGGTAACTGGACAGGACATCGCGTTGCCGTGGCGCCTAAGCCTCGTATTCAGCCAGCCAACCCCTTGTCTTGTAGTAGTCAAGTGTATCCTTCAGCGTGTCTGGCAGGACCCTAAACTGGATCCCCAAGATGTGCTTCGCCTTCTCATTGGAGCAAATTCGTCTTGGCAGGTCCGCGCCCCGCTTCGGGTCACCCTTGTCCAACTTCGGGAAGTAACCATATTCGGCGGCTTTGTTGCCTATGTGAATTAGAATTATCAGCAGATGAGATTAACAGCCAGCATATGTACAGGTATCAAGTGCGCTACACTTACGCCAGTCTTGCCATGTGCACCAATCTGGAAGCAGTATGACCATTCAGTCCAATTTTGCTGGAAAGCATACGAGAACGAACGTACGGGATGACACAATGATCCGCTCCCCACCAGCTGCCTCGACCTCGAGCGCTTTGATGTGGGCCTCAGCTGCGTCGCGAGGGTCGACATAGTTGATGCCAGACGCATTCATAGCGTCCCACATGGGATTACTGACTAACATCAAATAGAATAAACCTGCGGTAGAAGGGATATTTTCCAGTGATGGGGGATCCTCCACTGTCGGCTAGGCGATCAAGATCAAAGTCAGCATAGCAAGTCTGTCGCTGAATAGCTGTACAGGCTCACCCCGATCACCCAGGCCAAGGGTATCGTAACAATGTCCCAGACAATCTCGCTCTTGTGCTTTTCGTAGAAATTCCAAGCCGCTAGGACATGTCATCAGTACCGTGGCCCCGCCGCATCTTATACAGACTGACGGAGGGCATACCTTTCTCTGCTAGAACCTTGCTCGCGCCGTAGATGTACATCCCGTTCGCCTCGTTCTTCTTCTCCTCCACAATCTTGACGGCGTCCTCCGCCCAGTTGTCCTCAGTATATGTGCGCGCTTCAGCTTGCACGACCGCGCGGACCGACGACGTGATGACTACACGTTTTAAGTCTGTTCTGCGGATGGGAGACACATCAATCTCGGAACGACTCGACATCAGCCACGAGTGATCCGTGCGCACCCATGTGCGAGGGCGCTCTTCAACACCCCGAGTGTACCTTCCACCGCGGGTCTTATAAGGAAGTCAACGTCCTGGACGAGGTTTGTCAGGGGCGACGCGATGTGTACGATGCCAGTCACACCCTTGACTGCGTCATCGAATGCGTGCTCCTGCAGTGGTAGAAGTCCGGGGATGCTGATTAGCTTCGGCGAATATCAAGATTGCGCAGGAGACTTACAGCACTTATGTCCGGAACCAACACATACTCAATGTTTTTGACGTGTGTGGGGAGCTTCTCCTCGAATATCTTCACGAATGCGTTTCCCTTCTCCTTGGTGCGCACGACGCCACGCACCAAGTACCCGCGTTCAAGGAGAAGCTTGCTAACCCACACGCCGAGGTACCCATTAGCACCGGTCACGAGGATCTTCTCTGGGGCAGCAATAGTGGGCATCTTGCAGAGCTAATCTGTTGGAGGGGACGAACGTTGAAAATGGTCAATAAGTTAGTCTGTTGCAGACGGACGTTGAAACAACTATATGTGGTCTCACGGAAGAGATTACCTAAGGGGCTGTGATCGATGCTGGAGTTCTACTATCGAGACGATCAGAAACAATGTGAGCGCTTGCAACAGGGAACTTCTGGCGAGGACGCCATAGTACACGATGATGTAAGATCGCAACAGGGGACTCGGGATGGTGACGGTAGGGCTGCTTACCGCTCAACTCTTTGAGTCCAGCGCATTCTATCCAGGACTGGTCCTTTCTACACATAGCCGAACATAACCGAGTGATAGTGGCGTTGTTTTCCTTGACACCGTCGTGGAGACCTGCGAGAGGTATGAGTCCTAATCGCATTCCAGCTCTGGTTCCTAGTGCGGCCTTTCATAATAGATACCGAGATAGCAGGATTGTCCAGCTTTCGAGACATATACGCTAAGCCAGAGCTTGCAAGAGAGACGGACGCAGGAGACAGATATTTGTGTGCTCGACGAAAGGAAATTAGCGCAGGGCGATCAATCTTGGCGTCTACTACCGGCTACATAGTCATCCCTTGTCGGGGCGAGGAAGGCCTCATCAGTAAACCGTGCATTGGCTTAATGGCTTAGCGCCTTAAGCCACTTAGCTCTCCCACGCATATCTTCCAGCTGCTCACCCTCGACTCTGTACAACGTGCGGCATACGTTCCAATGATTGAGCAGAGCAGAGTGAGAGACCTATTAGAACCTGTGCATACGTTGTGACAGAGGCCGACACCCCCGACAACGGTGCAGAACGTTTCTGCACTCGTCCATCTTAGTCGTCTTCAAGCATCTTGATGGAGCATCTTAATGCTTACGCCCAGTGAGAACGTGCATGGTTTTGGTCGATTTGGGGCGTCTGAGATCGTGTATGGCCGTATTTACGCGTCCTGTGTCGATTTGGATGGGATGAGCGCCGTTTGGCGCCCGTTTGACGTCTCTTAGTAGCTCTACGGTCGTCGGATCGGACGTGCACGTCTCTAAGGCTATAACGTCTCCTAGTGTCTCTAGCTACAGCGACGTAATGCATACAGTTGTGTCTGTCTCGAGTTTGGTGTGCTGCTGTCTCTCCGCACCGTGCCAGATCTTTGCTCGCCGTTGGTGCTCCCCCCTACCAGGCCTGTTAGTCACCATTTCTGGGGTCTACAATCGCGTATACTACACATTTGCTCGCCTCAGGAACACCTTAGGATGTCACCTCCCAAAGATTGGAGTTGCGACTGTCTGAAGTACTGCGGAGGCCACAGCCGCAAAGTGTCGCGGGCCACTCATTTCAACCATGCCCCTTACCGCGACCAGGCAATCCAACAGGCTTTCCAAAAAGGCCTGGTGGCTGGTATGTCCGCCGACTCGGGCAGGACAGGTATACCTCCGGCAGGGGCCCATGGCTCCAAGCGCCGCCGGACTCAGACAGAGGCAAGACGTTGCGTGCGTTGGGTGCTCCGTTCGAAGGCTGACCTCGGTTTCCCTAGACACCACAGTCCATGGTCGCGGGTCCTTCTACCTTGGATTGTGGTACGGCTGGTTCTGGAACAGCTGCCAACGAGGATCTGCAGGGAAGTAGCGAGGTAGGTGCCCATTGCACTAGATCAGGAGACCCGCCCTGGGGCCCACGCAGAATGCCGTTCTCGAAGGCAAGCGGATCGTCCATGGCAGAGCTAACGTGCCGTGAATCCCTGTACAGAACCCAGCGCAGGATCCCTTTCCGTTCCAGGAAGTGGAACTGGACCTCCCGGAAATGGACCAGGACCTCCCGGAAGTTTCTGACCGACGCGAGTCTTCCCCGCACGCTCCTGCACGTCCCGATGATGCGCAAGAAGGGGAACCTGAATATGGCATGTACGACGCGACAGGAGCGCTCCCCAAACCTAGCCTGAGCGAGCTCAAACACTCAATGGCTTTCATCGAAGCTCTCAAAAATGCGACACTCGAGGACTCTGGACTGGACCCGAAGGTAATTGCACGCATGCGGAATCCCGACAACGATGGACACCTACCGGATCTCGAGGCGCCTGAGAACAGCGCCCTCCGGCTCGCGATTGAACAGTTTATTGCCAATGGCCACTCCGAAAAGGCCTATCGCGACAACCGTGCTTCGATCATGAAATACGACAAGGGCCTCACCTTACCGACTTACGAAGCGATGCAAAAAATTGTTCAAGACCTCAGCGGTGTCGTCCCGATCATTACTGACATGTGCCCGGACTCCTGTGTAGCATATACGGGCCCCTTCGCTGGTCTAGATCATTGCCCGATCGAGGAGTGTGGGATGGCACGGTACGAGACGCAGGGGAGGAAACGTGTAGCGCGTCGGACCTTCCAGACCCATCCGCTCGGGCCCCAGGTGCAGGCGCTCTACCGCTCGCGACACTGCGCGAAACGGATGCGCCATCGCGAGCAGGTCATGGCGCGCCTTTTGGACATGGCAAACGCACACAAGATGGTCGAGGTCGCTGAAGACGTCTTCTTTGCGGAGGAATACCTCAAACTCGTCGAAGCGGGCACCATTCGAGAGGACGACCTTGTTCTCATGTTCTCCCTGGACGGTGCACAGCTATATGAGTCGAAACAGTCCGACTGTTGGATTTACATTTGGGTACTGTTCGATTTGGCGCCCGACATCCGATACAAGAAACGCTACGTGCTGCCTGGCGCCTTTATCCCGGGTCCTAAGAAGCCGAAGCACGTTGACTCATTTCTCTTTCCTGGGCTATATCACGTCGCGGCGCTACAGAACACCCCCCTCAAAATCTGGGACTCGTATCGTCAGAAGGTCGTGGAATCACGACCTATCATCTTGTTTGCTACTGGCGACACTCCTGCGATGGCGTATCTAAACGGGCTTGTCGGACACTCTGGGGCGCACGGGTGTCGGCTGTTTTGTCCCCTCAAGGGACGGCGGAAGCCTGGGGGAGGGGGCCATTACTACGCTGCCATGCTCAAACCGGTGGACCCGGACTACGAGCGCGTGCGGGGGAGCGCCCATCCAGACTACATCCTCCGAAACCCACCCCCGACTGACGAGAGCGGCTCGGAAAGGTACTGGCGACAGCTTGGCGAGCTCCTGCAATGCTCGAATCTCTCTCAGTACACGCGCAAGCGTCTAGAAACCGGCATTGCGAAACCATCTCTATTTATGGGACTTCCTATCAACTGTGGCTTTCCTGGTAGTTTTCCAGCGGACATTATGCATCTGCTCACTCTGAATGTCACTGAGCTCGTTCTGGGGCTTCTGCGTGGTAAACTGAGCCGGTCTGAGTCAACTGATCCTCTGGCGGGCTGGGACTGGGCTTGCTTGTCTGGCGACGAGGCTTGGCAGGCTCATGGGAAACTAATTGGCGACGCGTCTCTGTATCTGCCTGGATCTTTTGATCGTCCTCCGCGGAATCCTGCCGAGAAGATCTCTAGTGGATACAAGGCATGGGAGTATATGTATTACGTCTATGGTTACCTGCCTGGCTTCCTCTGGGCTGTGCAAAAGCCAAAATACTATGGACACTTCTGCAAACTAGTCGCCGGGGCCCAGACTGCATTGCTCGTGGAAACCCCAGTCGTCCTCCGGCCGTCTGCCCACTCGCTGTTGGTTGAGTATGTTGAGGAATTCGAGGAGATGTACTATGCGCGTCGGGTCGATAGGCTTCACTTCTGCCGCCAGGCCTTGCATGCGCTTGTACATCTCATGCCCGAAAACGCGCGCGTCGGCCCAGCGTGGTTACATTCGCAGTGGCCACTCGAAAACGCCATTGGCAATCTTACAGCCGAAATTGGGTCGCATTCAAAACCTTACGAGAACTTGTCGCTTCGCGGCTTACGGCGCGCGCAAGTCAGCGCCCTCATCGCAATGTTCCCGGAATCTCTGGAGGAGACCCCACAGCTCCCCCGCGGGGCCGTTGAGCTGGGCGGTCAATACGTCCTGCTGCATCCCACCATGCGCAGCCCTCGGGTTATCCAAGCGGGCGACTCAGCTGCACTGATCACTTTCCTTAGGGCTCAGGGTGTCACTTTGCCCGAACCATGGACACCTAGGCTGGTTTTTTGGGGACGTTTGCGCCTTCCCAATGGGCAGGTGGCGCGCACAGCTTGGAAGGAATGCGCGGGTGAGAAACGCGGCCGCCCCGTCCATCGCTCGCGCATGGTTAGGGTGAGTCCTCTGGGATATGTAATACTTGGTTATCGATTCAATGACTGTTTTTTTCAGCTAGCAGACAATCGCTATGCTGAGGTTCAATATTTTTTTAGATTGCGCAAAATGTTGGAGGACGGTGGCACAGACGACGTCGACATGACCCTGGCCATGGTTTCCGTGTTCACCCCTCCCGATCCGGCAATCCTGCGCGAGTCTTATGGTGTTCTTAAGGCCTGTCGCTACCAAGGGGAAACCTCGCGCGAGGTGATCGACGCCAAGGGCATCGCCTCGGTGGTTGCGATGGTTCCTCTGCCACCTAGGCGCGAGGAGGCGGAGGATCCCCATGCCGCTGATTTGTATTCGGACCGATTCTTTGTTATGCATAGGCTGGGGTTTGATAACGCATGTATCGGCCGCGAGGAGAATATCTCACACGAGGAGGACTCTGATGATGAGGGAGAATAGATCTCATTACGATCAACGTACATAATCTAGCGCGCACGAGGATTCATAGAGACAACATAACGTGCACATGAGAAAGGTTGACCCGCATGTAAACAGTTGGGCGCGGCATGCTACCTACGCCAGAACCCCAGAGTGGTCAAGTGGGCAGACACCGATATGGACCGTGAACAACTCGTAGCCCAGGAACGAGACGGTCCTGTAGTCGCCCGGTGCATCCAGTCTGAAACCCTTCGCAAGTAGTCCTCAGAGTACTGTTGTTCTGGCACAGACACGCAAGCCAGCGCGTTCACTTGCGTCGCGAAAGCTTGGAAGTCGAAGCTGAGAGGGAGGGTTGAAGAGAGAAACCCGATGAGGACGTGGCGAAGTCATCCCATTGCGAGCGTGACGCAGGGCCCGGCGGGCGGTCTGGTTGCATGGGCATACTAGCGACAGGTTGGTGGCGCGCTGGGGAGGCAGATGATGAACAGGGAGCAGCGGTCTCAGTCCAGCCAGATGAACGGAAAGGAATGAGGGGCCTGGATGGGTAGGGAGTTTTTTGCGGCGGGCCCTTGGATTTTCCTCGGCAGTTCGTACGGGAACCAGAGACCAGACTGCGAGACAGAGGTATGGTGGGAGGAGCCATCGGGGTTGTTCCAAATGCTGCGCCCATGGCGCGACCAAGATGTGCAGGGTCAGAATGGGGAACAGGCATGGGAGCTGGGGAGTGTGAGGGCACGTTGGGAGGATGAGGGAGAGGTATAGGCCCAGTTGTATCTCGGAGCACGTAGCCCCCCGGCGGTGGCCCGTGCGCGCTGTTTTCAACAGTTTGGCTATGGAACGAACCCCTGCATGAAAGCTAGATGGACTGAATGAAATAATTGCTCACCTTTGTGGCCGTCGGGGACAAGCATCCCATAATGTTTCGCAAACACTCTGATAGCGATCCCGCACCTCTATGAACAAGCTCCCCACAGCATCCTTATCTAACAGTTGCGGCTCGTCCTCGCTGGTGTCCAAGCGATAGGCCTCGCGCGCGGCAACAAGGGCGAGCCGGAGAAGCCTGTACGCGACGTGTTGTTTGGTCGGGGCATCTGAGCTCGGAGGTCGATGTGGGAATATGCCGAAGGCGTCCAAAAGGGCTATGGGATTTTCTGTGTCTGAGGGAACGCTGGGAAGCAGTGAGACATCTGAGCCTGTCAAGGTGAATGGCAAAACATACGTTGGAGGGTCACTTGAGGACTCGGGTTCTTCATACGCCTCCACGCTGGTGAGGAAATCACGGACTGGCCATGGCACCTCTTCCGAGTAGGGCGGTCCGGTCTTGCACATGCCACGAAGAAGACGCATGTGTTCCATTCGGGTGGGACGGGAAGCGGTGAGAAGCAGTTGCTGCAGAGGATTTGCAGAAGACGACAATCTGCAAATCCCGAAGGCAAGCTTAATTAGCGCCCTTACCTAATATGACATAGGTGTATGCGACTCTGTCAAGTCCTCCAAGTATTGTCTTGCGCAGGACGTTCATGTACCCCGCTCTTTGCCCCTTGTACATATCATGCCTGCATATTCGCCTAGATCCTCTCCCTCTCCTGCCCAGCCTCGCAATACTTTTTTTCTCCCTGCTAGTGTTCGATCGCGGTCTCCTTCTCCCTCTAGATCTCGTTCTCCGTCTCGGTCTCGTTCTCAGTCTCAATCTCTGTATCCTGGCTCACGCGCGGGAGATCCTTACACCTCTCGCTCTCGGTCTCACTCCCAAATATCCCATTATGGCTCGTCCTTTGCAATTCCCAATGTGTCACATCACCGCGAAACTGGGCAGCGTGGATTCCAACACGCTGACCCCTCGCGTGCCCCCAATGCACCCTTTGCCTTTCCGCCCCTTGACCTATACCACTCCACTGTAGATTATCAATCTCAATATGCACCTCACTCACAAAGCTTGGCAAGTAATTATCTTCATCAAACACAGCGCATACACTCACCTCTCGAACAGGGCCCCGCCCATTCTTCCTCTTCCTCGGCATCCTCACATGCCTCCATCGCCTTGGTTGAAATGGGAGTCCGACTGCACCGTCTAGAACAAGAGTTTATCGCAGTCCGGTACGCACAGCAGCCGTCTCCGCGCCATGACCATCTCTTTGCGACGTCCATCTAGCAACCAACTAGCCGTCTTACAAGCTCGCTCGGAGAATCCCCCGTGAGTTTGAACACGGTCACGCAGAATGGGTGTCATCTGTTTACTCACGGCGCCGTACTCTGTAGATCTATTGCGCAAGGTCTGAAGGCCCCGGACGCCTCCGACGGCCCTCCAGACGTCCGATGTTAGTATCAGACCCCTGCCGCCATGTCTCGTTCTGACCATGCCTATAGCCACCTTCAAGAAATTGGTTATGGAATCCGTGACCCCCACAGAATCCCTGGTGCCGGATGAGCCCCCTGGCCTTGATTGTGTGCGCGACCAGGCTACCTTCCCCAACGTACGACGGTCCCCACATCCAGACGTTTTCGTAACTGATGCATGCTAACAAACCTTCCCCAGGTGAAATTTTTTACGCAGCGAGAATGGAACGAATACAAGCGCAACAACGGGAAGTCAACACGCATCGGCGAGGAAATTATCCGAGGCAGGAAGAAGTCAGCCCAGGGCGAGAACCACACCGCCCTGTACATCGAGCACATTGATGGCACGCCTGCGGATGGTGACTACATCAACGATGCCCGCAAGTTTGCGCGCCAGTTGATAAGCCTCGCGATCTCGACTAACTATACCTTGCCCAAGAAATGGCGTGAGGCTGATGTCTGGTTTCAGGAGCTCTTCTACTCGGCCCTTCGCAAGCGATTCCCTCTTTTCCAGTTATGTCACAACAACGCCAAGGGCAATCTCTTCATGACGCACACGTACTACGAGACTGTCACACGCAAATGGGAGAACATCCGTCCCCCCGGCGTTACTCTCAACGATGCCAAGTATACCCTGCCCAACCTGTCCGACAACGAAGAATCACCGGACGACGCCCACGACGGCCCGGACGACAATCGTCCTCGGCCACCCTCACCCCGCCCTTCGTCCAAGCGCCCGGCCGACGCAGTTATCGCCTCGCAAAAACCCCCCCAGCGTGCTCGGGTGCGGGCGCAAGATCCCCAAGGAGACCCTTGTACGTACACTTTCCATTGGAAAGCAGGCCGGTGATATACTTCGGGGGCATTGGACTATAGCACGACGTGTCCCATCGTAGAGGTATCGTGATCCGAGTAACACCGTTTGCGATGGGACACGATGTGCCACAGGTCGATGCCTCCGGTGACACGCGTTCAGCCACTGACTATACCCCGTCCCATTGGCGTCCAGCGAGCCCACGACCTGACAAGGGCAAGCAACGTGCGGGCCAGCAACGCGCGGGCCCAAGCCTCCTATCTCTGGTAAAAAAAAACTCCACTATCTATTGCCTTGCAATCATCTCACTCCTGGTACCGTAGATATCGACGTCAATGTTCGTCTTGTAGTGTAATGATCGCGTTCGCCTGCTCACAATCATTTGCCCACCCAGGACTCCTTTGCAACCCAGCCCGCGCGTTCCCGAATGTCTCACCGCCCCATCAGCAGCAGGCCTTGCCCCCGGGCAATCCCTTGACCTCACAGCCCCCCCAGTGTCTCTGCCATCTGCCTCGCCGTCATCGCTCACCCTCGTACCTTCAGACAACCATCCCTCCTCATCTCACGTTGACCATCCCGCCTTGCCCATACCACAGACCCCATCGCAGCCCCCCGCTTCACCCTCCCTCGTGCTGCGCCCGCCCGCTGACGTTTCGGAGGCTCCTCCGGTGTCATCCGACGTCCCGGTCTCCGTCGGCGACAGTGTCGCCGACGTCGCTTCCGAGAGCGTGGCTGCAACATCGTCGCACGTCCCTCCCACTCAAAATTTGCCCGCATCCAAAAAACCTCGTCCTCCTCGCAAGGCCCCGCAGTGGCCTCCGCCATCAGAGTTGCGTGGGACCAAGTACGTACCTCACCCGCTGTTGACCGCATCTGACTTTCGATCGATCTATCATCAGGTGGGCATACGCAAGGCACTGGTACAAAGAGAATGCCGGCACCGAGGCCGAATTCGAAAAGCACTACAAGGCCATGAGTCCCACAGATCGCAAGGTGTGTTCGCCTGATTGATTTCTACCCATATCTGATTAGAAACCCCCACACAGAAGGCAGCCCGCGATTGCCAACAATGATCTTCGCCACGCCGTTGTCAGGTGCACGACTGCACATCTGCATGCCAAACCATCCCATCGTCTCGCTCTCGACTCTCGTTCCCCGACGCTTCGACGTGAACACCTCCGCTCCTTCCCCGCCTCGTCTCCACGTCGTCCCCCGGTCTGGCTATCCGCGTCCGACAGCTCACGAGCTCCGGTTCAAGTTCGTGATGCATACCCGCCTGTGAGGTAGCCCCGCCACGACAAATGTGGCACGCCTACCTAGGGAAAGTGGAGCGGGAGCCGCCTGTGAGGTACTGAACCCAAGTGCGCCCTATCATAACCGGGGGTATACAGCTCTTTCCGAACGCGTCTGATTGGACCTGTATCGTACTGTGTATCATTACGACTCTATACGACTGAATACATCCATTGCACGAGTATCAACCAATAGCGTGTTTCGGATAGAACCAGCCCTAGACGAATCAGCCCACAACATGCCCGAGCGAACCCGGTTGCTAACGGCCGCAGTCATCCTAATTCGACAGGGGTAGTTCTCTATCGGAGGCGTTGCGCGACCTCATACCGCTCAATCCGAAAAAAGTCGGGAATAGTCTAAATTTCGGAGAGGGCCGTTTTTCCCGACTGCGCACGGGGCAAATCGACTGATATCGACCGAAACCATGTCGATTCTCACTGGGGCTTACGTCTTAGACGGCCTTAAAGCCATCTTAAGCGCCTTAATGCCCTTAAAGGCGATTTTAAGGGGCATTAAGTGATTCCCAGGTTGACTGATGCTTGCAAAGTGAACTGGACTTCAAGGATTGAGTATCCCTAGTGGTTCTCCCAGCAGACCATTCTCATGAGATTCTATCGGTGTGAATTCCCACTCGCTAGACTCAAGACTGCGGCGGCGAGAGCAAAGCTAACGGATACTAAGTCCACCGATAGGACAAAATAGACGCTTCAACCGTCAAGGCCATCATTGGTCGCCGCTACTCTCAGAGATCGCAATGATGGATGGCATAGATTTCCCCGCGAGAGGCTAGAGTAAGTACGCTCAAACTTCACTCGTACTTTGCCAGCCAGCCCCGTGCGCGGTAGTCGTCAAGGACATCCCTGAGCGTTTCCGGCATCTTTCTGTAGGAGATCCCGAGCATCCGCTTCGCCTTCTCGCCGTGGCAGATGCGAGGCGGGGAAACGCTATTCGCCCTTGCTGGATCGCCTTTGTCGAGGTTTGGGAAGTAGTTCAGATCTCGGGCTGTGTTCACTATCGCAGACGAAGGTGATGCAGGTGGGCAGCTCGGCATGAGCGAATCACGCTCAATGAGACGGAAGATGCCACTCACACCGGTCTTGCCAAGTATGCCATTCTGCATAGTAGCAGGTGTTAACAGAGCGATAAGGGTGACAGGACCGACATACACTTACCAGATGCCAGGATGAAGCGTTGGCCACCCGCCTCCTCAATCTCCAATGCCTTCAGGTGCGCCTCTGCGACATTGCGCACGTCGACGAAATTGTGCCCAAGTCGTCCGGCGAGGGGTGTGTACATGGGGTTGCCGGTGAAAACTTCATAGAATAATTTTGGCGTCGTCGCCAGAGTAGCCGGAGAAGACGGGTCGTCCAGTGTCGGCTAAACGGAGAATACAGCTATGTCAACCACCAAAACGGCTGCGAGGCTTATGCATGCTTGCGCCGAAGACCCATCCCGGATTGGTAACAGAGATGTCCCACGAGACACGCTCCTTGTTCTCCTCATAAAATTTCCAGGCGGCTGCACATTTGTCTAGTTTACGATGTGGTGTGGTGGCCCGCGCATGGTCGCGACATACCTCTTTCGGCGAGCACTCCACTGGCAGTGTATTCGAAGTTGACGTTGCGACCCTTCTCCTCGACCTCTTTCACAGCGTAGTCGGCCCAATCCTCTTCTGTGTAAGTCCTGCCACTGTCAGTCCCTATGGCAGCCTTGATGGAAGACGTGATGACAACGCGCTTAACAGCATCTCTGAAAGGTATCGTAAGCGCAGTCGCGAGCGGTCTGAACGATGGATGAGTCTCACGCATGGGTGATAGCACTATTCAACAATCCTTCCGTACCGGAGACAGCAGGACCGATGGTCGTTTGAGGATCTGGTCCGGGCATACCCATTGGCGAAGCGGTGTGTACGATTCCCACAATCCCTCTTACAGCTTCGTCGAATGCGTGCTCCTGAATGGGAAAGGCAGATTAGTTTACCTCCTCCACTTTATCTGGTAGCATACGTACAGCGGTGATGTCTGGGACAACAATGTACTCGACATTCTGTGCCTGCTCAGGAATCTTGGCGGTAATTGTCTTCAGCAAATTTTCGCCCTTATCAGCCGAACGCACTGCGGCCCGTACGGAGTACCCTCGCTGGAGGAGTAGGCGAATGACCCATAGCCCGATGAAGCCATTAGCACCTGTGATGAGGATCTTTCCGGGAACTGAGATTGCAGGCATTGCGATATGGGTACTGGCTGACAGTCGTCGTGATGGGAGGAGATTTCGAGAGCAGACAGGTAGCTGTGAATGAATGGATACCTATCGGGGGCTGAGATGGTGCTTGGCTACTATATAAGCTGCGACGGCATGGCACATGGCAGGGGACCTGGACCGCGACTCGTTCCAGGCAAGAAGTGAACAACCTTGTTTCTTCGTAACGCTCGTAATTTTAGTCATCTGAAAATGTACAGCTCACGATCGGCGGGCCATGGCTGGCATGACAAGAGCCCGAATGCCGTTGTGTGTGCGTATCGGATTGACGAAGTAGACTGTTTGCTGTTCTGGTACGTCGCATGCTCCTCATGGGATGGTCAGCTCACCGGGCTTCTGCGGATATACCATCGATAGAAATCTTCTGGCGACGATGTCGCAGCCACTTACCTTGCAGTGATCGGCTGTTGTGGATTGAATAGTGTTCATTTGGGGCTGGTTGATTATGGCGAGAGCCTGTGAGATGGAGTCAGCCCATGTCGGTGTGTTGTCTTATGGATGTCACTTAATCATATGTTTTGTATCCGATATGGTGTAGTGGCTAACATTATCGCCTCTCACGCGATAGCCCGGGGTTCGATTCCCCGTGTCGGAAACTTTTGGCACGTTGTCTCCGAGCGCCTTCTCGGTTCCGGAGTTCTTGACTCGGCACGTACTGCGCCTAAGTTCTCTCAAGCACCGAGTCTGTTCTCAACGGCATAGACTGATGAGCACAATGCCAGCACGGTGCCACTTGTTCTCGTTACCTGCTGAGCTACTCGAGAATGTTCTCATTCGTTGCAGTGCAGATGGCCACCCACTGTCAGTCGCGGCAGTCGCGCAGACTTGCCGGCAATTCCGAACCCTCGTGTACCATGCAGCAGACCGTCATTTGTGGCGCGCATTGTTTCTAACAACTTTTGACGACCCAAGGCTGCTTGCACACCTTAAATCAGGTAATATGGGGTACACCACGTTCTTGACTCATCCGCATACTGAAAGACATCCTAGAGATTTATTGGCAACGCGATTTCACGGAGAGGATCTGGGCTGCACGCGTCATCCAGCGCAGTGCTCGTACGCTCACTGTCTCTACCAAGAAGCGTGCTCTTCGTTCCACCAGCGCTATGATGTATCCCATCGATGGATTCCTCGAGGAGACCGGGAACCCGGATAAGCATGCCCGCGTACTAAACGCCCTTCTCACCGTTATGAGAACGGCGTGTCCATCCGCTCCACACCAAATACGACCCATTTCGGCCGAACCTACTGCTGGGCAGCCTCCAGTTCCAGGATTGACGCGAGCACACGCCCGAACACCAGTCTACCCACCTCCTGTCCCCTCTCAAGCGTCCTCCCTCAACATTGCCTGGCTCAAGGACACCCTCTCGCGAGGCCTCCCTTTTTCCATCACCCAGATCATCTCTTACGACACTCTCGCAGTTGAATGGTACACCATGCCCGAAGGCCAGGCCCTGTGCCAGCTTACCGCCTATCTCGACTTCCTCCCCATCCCTCTTGTTGACCCAGATATAGATGACGCGACGCCGAGCACGTCTTCCCGTCAACGCAAACCACGCAAGTCCCCAGTGCGCAGGAAGGGTCTTAAGACAGCAGAGATGATCGACATGAGCGAGGAGGCACAAAGAGCACGGGCGCGCGAACATGCCCGGCCGCACGCGTTCGACATGGGCTATCTCTCGAGGAGGCGACATTGGGGCCCTTACCTCGCTGTTCGGCGACAGCGTGGTGGGCCTTCTGAGCCGGTCATGAGCGACGTCGAAGCCGACTTGGATGAAGACACAGATACGGACTATGATGCGGACTACGTCCCTCCCGACGACGCGAGCACGTCCTCCGCCACCCCCGAGCCGGCGGCGGCGCCTGCGATTAGCGCACTGCCAAGTCCGGAGGAGTTGCGTCCGGACTGGACGTGGCTTGCCGCTGCGCGCATCGTCGCTCAGTGCAAGCTCCGCCAGCACGTGAATGCCGAGGATATCGCGAAGCTCGAGAACTGGAACAACCTCAGGGAGGGCGCGTGGATACCCGAGCCGCAGCAGCCGAGTGTGGAAGCGGATGGTACGAGTGAGGAGAATCCATTGCAGGCGGAAGCAACTCAATCTAAGGAGCCCGACGAAGAGTGGAAGCGGTACGAACGGGACTGGGCTGGCGCGGAGGGGGTCTGGAGGTCGGTGTAGCTTCTATACTTCTCCTGAGACTCACCTAACGGCGCTGCCTGATTTGTAGACGTCTCGTGTGCTGGTTGGATTATGACGACCTCTTATGTACGTGCTGTCGTCTCTTCGTCATGTCATCCTGAGCCGCTCATTATCCTGCGCCTGCAGATCATAATGTCAGCGCTACCACCCTCTTCGTCCGACGGCATGCTGATTACCCCAGATACAGTCCTACGGTGCCTTCCTCGACGCAGACCTCGACGAAGCCTGGATCATTGTCCCCATGTCGCTTCGAATCACCGGCTACTCCGCGCCATCGCTTCCGCACCTCTATCCCGACCGGCCGACGATCCATGTTGAAGGCGAGATGGGCGGCGCGGGGTGGGTAGGGAGCGTGGACGTTGGTGACAACGATATCCGCCGAGCGTACGGCACGGTCAGCATGCTCCCCGATGGGGAAGTGCGTTGGTCAATTGTACGTAGCGACTCTCACTCTATGCGGGCTTCGTGTGACGGCAGTGGCTAAACGTTTAAGCAAATCCCACAGACGTCCAGCGCGCCAGGGTCGAATGAGGACGAATGGGCATCCGAGGCCGTGCAGTTGGGCGGCGTCGGATCGGCGATGGGTGCGCTTGGGATGTGGACGGGGGCGTTCCACGAGGACGGAGACCCTCTAGGTGCGTCAGTGCTCGGAGAACTGTGTTCATGCTTGCTAACTGGTCCTACTGTTTCGGACGACTGTTTACAGGTGTATTGTGGCAGTGGCGCGTTGAGTGATCAATCGTCAGGCTCGATCGCCCCCTTTCGCCCGTCCGTTACAGCCCCATCTCCACTCTGACAGAGAAAAGAAATCATCGAACCATATTTCAAGTTGACTCCCGCTCCGCTCCTTAGCGTTCGTCACGACATTAGCTCCGCGCTCAGCCGTTCAGGCTACGTGCTCACGATGTCCGACGGGTTGCTTCTCCGTCGTCCATTACCGTCGAATAGGCATAAGAACCTTGCATTATCGTTTGATACGAACCAAAGCTTCACCACTTCACTTAAACCTCCCTTGCGCCAGCTCGTCAAACCCGTTTTAGTTCAGCCGCTGTATGTCCGGCTTTGCGGTGGTTGCCGCTTCGTGGGTCCGGCACTCGGTCTGGACCTACGAACCTTACTCTGAGTTCAGGATGTTGTTCGATGTCGTCTTCTCTTCTCCCTCCTGCTCGGGATAAAGAACATGGTGGGTCCGGCTTGCTCTTGGCCGGGCCTTCCAAGCCAGTCATTGCGAATAGATCACTCCGGGTGCCAATCCGGCTACCCTGCAGCCTATCATTCCCCTGATCCATCAGGACTATCTCTGCTTCTACAGTCTCACGATGACCATTAGAGCCGCGCATGGTGGAGATTGTGCGTACGGTTGCCCCGTGTCTGATGTTGCGAACCCCGCATTACTCATGTACACTCGGGCCGCCAGTGCTCAACTGTTCCTCCTGTATGCAGTATACGTAAGACGTCCAGTCCTATATCGCACTGCCCATGTTACCCCATTCGTATAGGGAAAAACCGTTCAGCCAGGGTTAAATGGCTGAGCCTGCAGTGAGAAGGCCTGTAGGAGGTCCCAAGTCATGAGTTGAATCATTCGGACGACCCGCAGTACCGTGCGATCCTAATTTGCATTGAACATCCATATTCCAATTCATCGTCCCTGAATACCTTGTCGTAAGGAACGGCCAAGATATAAATTAATACCATATACTCCTACAGTCTATTCCAGTCTCGTGAGTAGCAACGCGGCCGCGGTACGGGAAATCGAGTGAAGAAAGAGTGGAAGGCAGTATGAGGGGGGCAAGCACTGAGGCGAATAGAACAGCAATCAATACTCACAAACGCGACAGCTGCACACGGGAGCCGCCAGCACCAGCCAACGCCTCCTGCAGCTTCCCGTCGCCGCCCTCCCGGTACCACGCCTCCGCAGCCTCGTCCGCGTCGTACGCAAACTGCGCCATGCTCTTCTTCTCGTCCGCCCACTGGTTCGCGCTGCCCTCGAGCGCGTCCGCGGGCTTCGCCGCGCCCTCGCGCAAGCGCCGCAGCTCGATCTCCGTCGCCTTGCGCATGTCCGCGTCGCGACGCTCCTGCTCCGGACCGTCGGGGAGGTGGAAGATCTTCTGGTTCAGGCGCGACTGGTTCTGCGTCTCTGCTGTGCGCGGGAGGCGCAGGTCTTGGTACGCCTGGAGGAGGGCGCTGAGCTGAGAGGGGTGCTCGAGGCGCGAGAGGAGGTTGCCGAGCACGGCGGCGTCCTCGATCGCCATCGCGGCGCCTTGCGCGCGGTACGGCTGGAAAGAGGAGCCAGAGCAGTAGGGGTAAGTAGAGGTGGAACGAGAATGAGAGCGGGCAGGTGGGCGCAGTGTAGCTCGTTAATGCGGATTTAAGGCGAGTGAGATTTGATCGGACGTACCAGCATCGGATGACAGGCGTCACCGAGTAGGACGACGCGGAAGGACGGATGAATCCATGTCTTCAACGGCTTGCGATCCATTAGTCGCCATTTGAGCGTGGACTGCACGAAGCTAAGGATTTTGCGAATCCTGCCAACCGTCCAGCAACCCAGTTGAAGTCAGTTAAGGTCATAAACGAGATGATAATGCTGCGGCGAGCGTACCGGGGCTCATAATCTGCGAATTCGGCACGCATCTTATCGGCGCTGCCCTCGGCGGTCCACGACTCCACAGATCCGTCGTCCGGATGTATCAGGACGACGTTGTACTCTTTCTTCCCTCTCTGTAGCCGAAATTCAGCGACTATTATTGCCGACGTGGGAAAGATAATCATCAACGTACGATATTATATGCCATGATGTGTCGCTGGGGACCCATCCAGCCCGTCATCTCCGGAACTTCGATGAGCTCCTTCAGCTCCGGGTCGTTCAGCAGAAGGTGTGAGGGCACAATCGCGCGGTAAACAGCGTCTCCCGTCGGGTCAGCAGGGTTGGTATGCCCGAGAACTACCTGCTGGATCGTACTCTTTATACCGTCCGCCCCAAGGACCAGGTCTCCATGAACGACTTCGCCAGAAGCGAGCGTAAGCGACGGCGCGTCCGGGTCAACGCTCACGACGGTAGACTGGAGGCGAAGCGTCATGAAGGGCGCGGCGAGGTCGAACAGGAGCTTGTGCAGGTCCGCGCGGTGGACGTGGTAGTATGGCGCACCGTACTTCTCCTCCATGTTCGTCCAACTCGTGTAGCCCACGCGCTCGCCCGTGTTGTACCGTCTGAGCACGATCGCATCTGGGCGTACGCCTACAGCTTCGAGCGCTGCTCCCGCACCCCAGCGTTGAAGCAACCGTGAGACGTTCGGGGTCACCTGGATGCCGGCGCCGACTTCACCGATGGCGGGGGCGGACTCGAAGAGCGTTATCTTGTGTCCTGCCTTCCCGAGACAGTGCGCAGCGGCGAGCCCGCCCATGCCGCATCCGACGACGAGGATATGCAGTTTGTGGGGAGCCTTCCGGCCACTATAGAGGGTGGTGTGCACGGAAGCACCTTCGGCGCTGGCGGCGAAGTGAGCAGCGGCGGGGGTAGGGCGTTGGGATTCCTGTTGGGCCATGTCGAGGCGAGGTATTGGGGGCTGACATAGAGTTGGACGCGAGTGCGGGGTAGAAATAGAGTGCTATGGATAAACTGTTTGACCGGGCTGGTATAGTATGCCCTGCGCGAGCGTCAGTGGGTCATCCAGAGTGGTCAGACGAGAAGCCGCGCGCACCATGATTCTCCTGCGGACAGGAGCTGCGTTGGTCTAAATCGAGGTCAGAGTTCCCCCTTCGTGCGCCCTTGTCCGTTCCCAGCCTCGCTGCCTGCCGCCGGGAATGCATCAGCCCCGTAAGGCAACGCCTCCACTCACGTGTCAGTCGGGGATCCACTAGCGGCACCGGACCAAAGCAGGAACGTCTCATGGTCCGAAGCAGGCGGCATTGCAGATTCTCCATCAGGGGGGGAAAGCCCGGAGCAGAGAAAGGAAGACCGACCGTCGTCGTCGAGGATGTGGAAGAGGGAGGCTGCCGCTCAGTAACTTGAGCGATTGCAGATCGGCGATCTCGCTATAGCGGACAATGCCGAAGACTTCATTGAACTCGCAAAGGTCTCCCCGCGAGACAGTCTGTGAGTAAACTTCCTAACATGACATACGCTCATATAGTTCTCGGTGCAGAGGGGAGGAGTACGAGGGTTAGTGTAAGAAAAGGTCGTCAGCCCCGCGAACACACGTTTGACTTGTAAGAATTAGTGGGTATTGCGGTTGGCGAGTCGTTCTTCGGATTTACTAACGAATGGGCATCGTCTGGCCATACTCCCGGCGGTTAAGCAAGTATATACCTAGAGCTGACATGCTGATGACACATGTTGGCGAGTTGTTTTGAAGATTGACTGTTCACCATTACGATTGTCCCTCGTGATCGAAACGCGGATGATCGGAATTATTTGGGGGCACGCTCACCAAATAGGAGACAGGACCACTTGCCTGTGTTGATCATGACAGTCACATGTTCCTCTGCGATATCTTCGCCTGGCGTCAATTGCATGTCGGCGCGCAATGCCGAAGACAATGTGTGTGTCTCCATACGAGGCTACAGCAACTAAGAGTAGCTCAGCCGAAGCTGCTTCACACATCTACTTGAGCCGTCCCGGTGAGACAGACATCGACGGCAACTAGTACTATCCGCGAGTCGAACTCAGATTGCCCAACCTCAGTAGCAATCAATTGTGGAACTGGCACATCCACAACGGATAGGGCCATGCACGCTGACGACCACTGAAGGCAAGTCGTATCATTTTCTCATCGCTATTGCCATAATGACCTCGCTCTATACGGTACTGTGTGGTCGTGATGACCTGAACGACAACGACCGGAGGAGGGAACAATCGGGCGTCTACTATGCCTAATCGGGAGGATCCGCCCCGCTGAAATGTCGCGCCGTTGCAAAGATGCAATGGCGAATAAGTGGTCTTATACGCTGTTGCTCGAGCCCTTGCCGTCGTTGTTTCAGCATAGTGTCTCAGTGGTGGTTGACATGCATAATCAACTAAACATCGAGGTTAGACCCCCCACTGGGCGTTATTCTGGTCTACCAATGCCTTCACCGCCTGGGCAATCTCTACAGCACCCTGGAAACAGTGGGGTAAGTGCGAATTCCGCTTTAGTGGATAGTATCGTCAACGGGTACTCACAGGAGTATCAGAGTGACAACAGATCGATATCTCTTTGACGTCCTCGGGAAGCGGCACAAATCCGCCGATGGTCGTGATCCTGTTCTCTCCGAGTAATGTGTTTACCCTATCTTTGACAACACTCAGAGGCACAGGGTCGTGCTTCCTATACAGAAGGCCACAGCGCGCATTAGCAGGGATGGGAAGCGGAAGGAGGATCTAGGGGACCAGAACTCACTTTGTGATCATCAACTTGCCCTCGGGACTGTAGCTCAAGTCCGCGAACCATTCTGTTATCAACATCCGAGGCGCGGCGGTCGGGAATGAGAAGGTCAGACACTACCGAAGCCCACGGGAGGGGATAGAGCGCGGAACGACGGACCTGCGATGAACGGCACGCTCAACTCCCGCGCGGCGGTTTGGTGGCACGTTCCCGCGAGACCCATGAACGGCACGTCGTACAGCTTCGCGACTCCGACGACAGCGCGGGCCAGAGCGAGGTCTCGAGCACTCATCCCATACACGGCGCCATGCGGCTTGATCTATTTGGGAGGGCCGTGAGTATGAGCGGGTGCTTCTCGCGGTATTCGGCGCACATGATTGAGCTTCATGCCATGAAGCTTGAGAAAGCCGGTCAGTGCGCCGACCTGATAGACGAAACAAGACGCGAGTTCGTCCTGCGAGGAATGGAGACCATTAATTCCTATCGGCATGCAGTAAAGAGTGGGAGAAGCTAACGCACAGGCTCCATAGCCATCTCGCGTCGACCCCAGCCTTGTCTGTCGGGCAAGGAGGGATGCGCGCCAACGAGGACGGTGTTAGCCTTCGCCAGGAGCACCGTCTCGTTCATGATTGAGAAATCCCTTTTCCCCGCAAGTGTGAGCTGCTGCACGAAATGAATATGATAAGACATACGAGGCATGGAATCCACACGCAACGTTTGCCAAATGGATTGTCCTCATCAATCCTTCATCGTCGCCCTTTGGAAACGGAGTGAGCACCTATGCAACATATGAGTTACACGTGAGGACATACTATTTTGTATAGGGCATATCCCTGTCGGGCATTACTGTCAGTTTTGCATAAATTCCCAACCTCGTGAAGTGCAAAGAGACGGTCCTCGTGTATCGGAAGGAAGACCCTAAGCGCCTATCCGCTGCGGCTGACGCAAGCGTACGAGCGAAAGGCGCCCATGGACGACTTGGACTGAATCATCATCCTCACCAGGATGATATCTTTCTAATAGTTCTCTCCCTCCTCTCTGGATAACCACTATGATACCAGAAGAAATGACCAATAGAAAATGTCGTCAAACCTACTCACCTCTCCCATGTCGCAATTCACTGTAGCGCGAAGACCCGGCATTCTGTCAAATTGAGGTACACCTCGAGGTAAGTGGTAGTAGGAGGCTGACAGTGCTCCCCCTAGACTTATCGCTGTGCAGGAGTCTTATCCTCGTGTGACTTTGACCTCGAGATAGGCGGGTATACTAATAGAACCGACGTCATATCATCGCAGTCACGGGGCAGACGAGGAATCGACTCGTTCCCTCGCTATCGCTGCAGATGTATCTCGCTCACAGCACAAGTGCTTACGTTTGCTGCTACTTTATACTGTACATATAATCTGTGGCATACGGCCTGATCACTACAGAATGATGGGCTGCACCTATCGTGTTTCAGATGAGTATGGACCAGTACAAGTTTGCCTCGTATCTCATCAACATCGCTGTTTCGAAGCTCGAGCACAAGGCTATGATCATGTCCGTTCACAACCGACTCTTCCTCCCATTCTGGATAGCAAGCAAGACTTGCTGTACCCTCCGCCATTCCGCATACGGCCATCGAGAGTCTGCCTCTTCGGTGGGGATGAAGCTCGCGTCTGAGAAGTCCAGGTCAGGGAACAGGCGGTCGAGAAGAGCGCCTGCCTTGATGTGTCCGTGGCCCTTCCCCGCTTTGAGATTCCCGAGGGACAAGTGCAGCAAGGGATGATCCATGAGGGGAATATCGCGGAAAGGTGTATGCGGGTCAATGGATACGCAGGGAATTCTGAGCCACACAAGGGCGGGCGTGCGCGTTGCAAAATCGACGAGCGATTGGATGGTCGGGAGAGTAAAGGGTAGCTCAGCCTCCTCGTACCATGACAAGTCCTCCACATCCCACAAGTCAAGAGTAAAGCGCCGGAGATGCGGCCATGCATCAACAAAGGCGCGGATGTCCGCATCGGAGAGTGGTACCTCCCGGCTCAACAGAAGCTCGACCTCTTCGAGGGCTTGTAACGTGAGGATGGGAGCAAGGAAGCGAACAGCATGTCCGTCACCGTAGCCCCCAGGCATGTCGTGTGGTGACCCATCGAGGCGGAAGGTTCGCAGAGGGGAGTCGTGCTTCCTGAAGTGGGAGATGATGCCGTCAAGGTGATGGTAGGAGAAATCATGTGAGGAGTTCCATCCGAAATCAACGCCATGACTCTGATCTAGCGCGATGCTACCTTGGGGTGGAAAGCCAAGATAATCCCGGCCGCGTCTTCGAGACCATCGAGACTTACGAGGCGGAGCTCCTGGAGCCCGCTGAATGCATTTGGTCCAAGACGGAAAGCCGACTGGCTTCCGTCGATGGAGAATTTGCCTGGTGAGCAGGTAAGGTGTACCAGGCAAGGGAACGTGGCTAGTCCGGAACCCTGCCTGACCGACTGGTGATTTGCCCTGCAGCTCGAGGTGTCGCAAATGCTGGAAACGAGCCATGATTTCGAACGACTCTGTAGCAGATGCCGTGGGCAAGTCGCAATACTCTTCAAATATAAGGGTGGTAACATGAGGCGACTCGCATCCTCTAAGAAGTTGAGGATCGTATAGCGGAATTCGTCCTGCGTCGTACCCCGCTGGCTATGCACGGGAAACCACGGACTGATTTCCATGACGCGAAGAGATGGGCTGACGAGTATTAACGCTATACCGACATCCTCTGGCTGAAAGCTAAGTGTCTCGATGCGCTGGATATTTGGAAGCAGAGGCTTCCTCACGAGGAGCTGGCGTACAAACGTCCATGTCGACATAGCGATGTCACTTCCTGAGAAGCGACGGAGTTCGCGGATGCGTCGTGAGTAGTGGTCAAGGAGTGGTGTCACGTTCCCGATATTCGGAAGCCCAATCAGCACCTGGACAGAAAAGAGGGCAATGAGGCGTTGAGCGTGATCCAATCAATTGACAGCTTACGGCTGGTTCACCCTTGGGGGCTACAAGCAAGCTCAACAACGGTACCAAACTGCTCATAACCTCCCACAAGATGTTCAGTGCGGGATGGGAAAAGGCTCTACACGTGCGCGCACATCGCGCAAGGGTGCGCTACATATCGAGACGGGTTATCGGCATGTCCGAATCCATGACTTCAAGCGACCGCGGCTGAGGGCGGTGCACGGGCCACGGTCGTAGTTGTTGGAAGACGGAATCAAGGATCTCAGTGCGCTCCAAGATGCGATTGATGGCAGAGTCGGCCATGACCATGTATACAAGACGATCACTGCGATATGAGTCAAGATTGGCAGCAGAGCAGGATACCGAGAGCTTCTTCACCTGTATGCAGATTCCGCGGAATCTTTAGCGAGATGAATGAGATTCACTGCAGCAAACACAGAGCGCTTGGCAGTAGCTAAGGATAGTAAGAAAAGAATAGTGAGAATATATATCTGTATGCTCGCCCAAGACACCCAGGCATCAGACTCGAACGATTTGAAAATGACGGTCTAATGTTGGATCATCGGATCTCGCAGGAGTTGCGTTGTCCATGCTATCCAGATATCATCCGTATCATAGCCCTTGGCCGAGTAGTCAGAGGACATCGGCAACTAGAAATCGCCATTTGGGCTGCCATGATCGGCTTTCACAACAGCTGTCAGGTCACTCGATTGACCAGCGAGGTTATTGCATCGTTAGTGCAGAGAGATGGCAAGATCCAATGTTTCTGGGAGATCCGGATGGATAGTACTCGCCAACCAGAGAGCCGGAGAAGATCCGATGCCTTGCCAATCGCAGGGATTGTGACACAATGACCTCGGAATGATTGCTCACATTCAAAGTAGGCCCAGAAGGGAGATACTCGATTCTCTAGCGCTTGATTGTTATCGTCACGATATTCCTTGGAGAGGGTGTTAGGAAGACCAGGCAGCTGCTGAGATCTGAGACCTGAGGTAGATGATGGAAGACGGGAGGTCAGAGGACTCGGAGTGGTGCTCAGCGCTGCGTGGCACTGCCTCGTTGAATCTAAGCGCCAATGCCACGTTCTGGCTCGAACTTACCGTCGAGTCTCTCACCAGTACTTGTCAAGTCGCCTGCATAAGGTCTGTCGCCATCCAAACCCACTTTGCTACTCGCTGTAATTCTCTCAGGGTGCACGAGCTGGCTCCTTACGTGGTCTCATCCTCGCTATTTCTACTGACGTCGGACGACGATTGAGGTGCCACTCGGGATCCAGATTGTTGGTGTCGCGGCACTGAAAGAGTCGCGGGGGCGTTGAATTCTTTTAAGCACGAGGATGGCCGAACAGATCAACGTTGATTTACCCGAGACTGGTTTCGCGCGGAAATCTTTGTCCGGAATGTGCTGATCCACTAGCTGAATGGATTCACTCAGCACCGGGGGCGGCACCAGGACCGAAAGTGGAACCAAATCGGCGGGCCCTGTGGCCTATGGGAGAAACGTCCCTGTGCCCAAGGACCACTTGGCACAGTCTACACGTAAGGCTCTGTTCTGCAGACAACTACAGTGCTAAGTAATGAGCGAGCGGCGATCAGAATGTGCTCAACGTGGATGAGAAGCAGAAGCCTACCGCAGCACCACGCCGGGCAGGCTCGCGCGCTTCTCCAGATGCCTTGTCTATATATCATCCCTCTACTCTCGGACTCGCCCCCACACTTGCCCTTCCAGCTTGTCGTATTCTCGCCCTTCCTCCTACAACTAAAGGTATGTATCGTTATACACTGCACCCACGGAACGCAGGCACTGATGACTGCCTCAAGCTACTTGGTTTCATCATGTTGATCTTCTCCCCACTCGCCCCACTCGCCCCACTCGCCGCGCTCGCCCCACTCGCCCCACTCGCCCCACTCGCCCCACTCGCCCCACTCGCCCCACTCGCCCCACTCGCCCCACTCGCAGCTGGTGCTTTGAGCTGCTTTGGATTCACTGCCTCGGGTGTTGCGGCAGGTACGTTGTGACGATCTTCTGCGCTTGCTCCAGTGTCTCACTCGTGGGGCAGGTTCTGCTGCGGCCGCGGTCCAGAGCAGAGTATATGGAGCGTTCACCACTGGAGTCTTCTCCTGGTTCCAGTCCTGGGGTGCCACGCTCGGCGCGTAACGGCAGCAGCAGCAGCAGCACTCTGGGCCTGAGTAGTTTGGGATCGGACGGAGAAGAACGTCTCTACATGAGTTTGTTATTGCGCGTAGTCGACAATCCATATTCAGCGTTGAACGTTGAACGTGGAACGTTGATGTTTTGGTCTTCGGGTTTGGATGTGCACATGTATATAAATTTAAATCTTTTGCCGGTCCAGACATGACACCGAATCCCGCATCAATTCGGTCGGATGTCGTACCGCACCCTAGTTGGGGGAGCAGGAAAAGTGATTCGTTCGCCGCACTATGAGGCACATCGAGCATCAACCATAAGCAATACACATTACGTTCGCTCCTCTGTGGGTAAGTACACGGATGCTTGATATCCCGAGAAAACCTCCGCTAGATGCCTAGGGTGTGGAACTTGAAATAAATCGCCACGTCGCCAACAAGGCGAAGCTGGGTTTGAAGGTCAGAGGAAACAGTACGGCGACTGGAGCGGAACTGGTGGAAGGATATGGACATTGGTGCTGCGCGTTCTCGTATGTGGTGCCGCATAGATGGTCCTCTGCCGTGCGTTCAGCTGAAGTGGAACAGACTGTAACGACTAGCTGAAAATGGAACGTGCGGGAATTGCACCAATGTAACGACTAGCTGAAAATGGAACGTGCGGGAATTGCACCACGCACAACCGTTGGACTACCCGTCCCACTTTCCCAGCCCGTTACAGCCACTAAGCACCGTTACCTCGGGTGACTAAGCCGGGTACTGCCGTACTTCTCTGTGACGGTGCGTCATCTGTGACGCCACCGTTACACAGACCCGACATGGGGTAGAGAAGTAAAGCGGCGGAGGACACCGCCAAGGCTGTCGAGTCTGAGCCCAACGGCTACGGCTCTGCACTAGGCGAGGGTGGCGAGGGAGTGTGTCCGGTGGGTACGTGTGGCTGCCGTTATTGTGTAAAAGGACTCAGACTCTACGAAGCGTGCTCGCGGAGAGCAGAGGGTGCCTGGGTTTGCGGGCGGCGGAAGGCTTCTGCAAGTGATCGCACAGAAACAGGCCGGGAGGCGCGCATCGCATATACCCAGTCAAACACTCTTGGTATGGATGCCCTGGGCCCGTATTCTTATTCTCGATGGAGAGTCGTCACTAACCCGTTCTCATCAGATTCCGCGACTATCTGAGTGGACGTCGGGTGGGCAGTGAAGTTGTGCACTGATGCCCAACAGCGATTGTGCACCGACGCCCAACAGCGATACTGCACTTGTCCATCCCCGCGAGCCTCGAGCAGCTCACCTCCCAGGGAGATTGTCGTTGTATCCTGAAAAGGGTATGCGATACATTGAGCGAGCGTGTGCGCAGATTCGGAGATTCAAGAGCAAAGCGCACCCCGGTCTGGTATGAGCTCATCGCGTGGCACATGTACCACACTCGTCCTCGTTCGTGGGGATTCTCTTCAAATTTTGTGGTCCAGGGGGGTCACATCAGTGACAGGGACATACTTATCATATGCGATCATCATCACTCATTCCAGTCGCTTTGCGCTCGTGTACCGACCGGGTCTCTTGCCCAGACTAAACCGCCAAACATAGCAGGGGAGGGGCGCAGCTTCCGGGAGTCTATTTCTGGAGCCTTCTCAGCCACTGCATTGTCTGCGCGCAAAGCAGCGAGGGAAAGGGACAACGAGTGGGAGTGCGGCGGGTGATATTCCGATTGCGACAGAGGATGCGGGATGTGAACGGGGGGAGGTTTACTTCAGGAAGCGGAGGCGTGCGCTTAGAGCAGTGGGAACAAGGCAATAGTCGGCACCGAGAAAGGAGACAAACACAGAGTAGTACTTGCTGAGGAAATGACAGCTATCGAATGTCAGAGTCGCGGTCCAAGTCGGGGATGTAGAGGCCTAAGGTGAAGAGACGGGTGTCGAGCACAGTGATCCTTGGGGGCGTTTGATGTGTCACGGGTGATGTTAGGGATAGGCTCAGTATCAGAAAAAGTAAGTAGGGGACAGAGGTACTGGTCTAGCTGTAGAACAAAAGCTAAGCTGTGAGACGGCGAGTAGCGAAGACCGCAACGGGCAAGTTACATGGCAGAGCGATGATTGGCTGAGAGACTTCCGGTGAGCGCCTGCTCTATTAATGGCGAACGTGCACCATCTGGCTCGCCCTTGTGATTAATCACCCACTTCCTGGCAGCACAGGCTGCCGTGATATGAACAGGGACCTCCGAAATATCAGCAATTCCAATCCTGACCTCCACGCTCGATTTTCCCCTCACACTCAGAGCTCATGCCCTCACCCCAAGCTTACAGTCGCCCTGTACGGAAACTTGTTCTCGGCATCGATGTTGGCACCACGTATTCAAGCATGGCATACGCTCTGCTTGACCCTGGCGAGGTGCCCAAGATCCATGGTGTTACGCGGTACGTCTGCTTCCCGAGCATATCTGGGCGGTCTTGATGTGGGAGAGGACAGCTTTCTGGGGCAAGAGAATGCTGCAGGAGACTCGAAAATTCCCTCCATCTTATGTTACCGCCAAGATGGCTCAGTACATTCTGTCGGTGCCGAAGCAGCTCTCCCTGGCTTGGATTTAGATGCTGAAGACCAGGACCTCGTGCTCGTAGAACGGTCCGTGTCCTTGTTGTCGAGTCATGTCCAAC